TTACATACCGGACGCCGAATCTCGATTGAAATCGCCGCATTAACAAGGAGAACCAGAAATAAGCGCGGTGCCTTCCCCATTTCCGACCTTGGTTGGAATGAAAAAAAAGCCGATTGGGAAGGGGAGGTTTGAAAAATTTGCAGACTCAACAATGATTGGACGTCAATTTTGTCTTTTCTGGGCAAGGTTTATTTTAATATTTTGCCTACGAAGCTGCTTGTCACTCTTAAAACATCACGCCCGAATAAGAAGCTATCTGATTATTGTAGCAGAAGCATTGTGAAAGACAATAAAGTATCTATTTATTTCAATAGATCCCTAAATCGTAAAAATCGGAGACGACTGCGGACCGCTTGAAGGGGTGCTTTTTTGGACACCCCCGTAGAAGTTCCGGGAATAAAAGGGTGTGGCTGACGCGGATCCGAATTATTTATAGCAGCTCCGTCAGTAAATGGTTGTCCAATCGGCCTGGATTGAGTACAAATAGTTGAAACCTGACGCCAAAAACACCCCATGTGCGCACCCGACAAGCTAACTTGATCCCGAGATTCCGCAATCTAAAGTCCTACCGCGGTCGGAAACACCTGCCAGTCGACGCCCCCGTCCGGAAATCTTGGAAATCCTAGCTCTCTTGGCTACAAACAATTTTCATGTTCTACCCAACTGAAGCTGCCGAGTTTTGGATAGTCTGTGCTTACTATCTATTCTGGACGCTTGGGTTGTCGACGTTTGGCCTGACCGTGATCCTAATTTATAGTCGCAAGGCACCATTAACAAAGGAATTCAGGGTGGTGCTACTGAATCTGTTGGTGGGTCTCGGGGCTTAAATTCCTAATTGTCTCTAGAAAACCTAATTATATTATGCCTAAAGGTCCGTTGGCCTGGTAACCGTCCGCGAGATAGCAAACAATTTATTTTCATCTCGCCTATTTCTTTCGCCTACGTCTTATTTCACTTACATCTCATTTCGCCTACGCTTCGATTCTAGTCCTTATTTCGCCTAGCTATCATTTCGCCTACCTGTAGCCGAAATGAGCAAATTGGCCTTTCGACATGAGATTTAGGCAAAATAAGATGTAGGCGAAATGGAAACAGGTGAAATCAATACTTGCCTAGCAAACAGGGTTACTTACGGTAGTCGCTCGCCGCTCAGCAAAACCGAACCACGTCCACTCGCCTGGGGAAAGCGCTTTGCAACACTAGGTGATGGGACAGACGCGAAAGGGAGGATAGAAGGGCCTAAAGAAGGGTCAGGGGCAGGCTGCGGCAAAGACCCGGATCGCCCGTCCGCAACCTCACTTTTTGCACGAGATTTTAGTGTACCTTTAAGCAGGTCTCCGCCGTGCTGACCGATTCCCTGCTCTCCGCTTTCAAGCCGATCATCTATGCCCCAGCCACTGCCGTCAAGTCCTTGAGCGCAGGCCCAAGCCGATTGGTTCTCCACGTGCTTGGGGTGGCGTAGACTTGCGGTGCTCAATTTCGTTTAGAGCATCTTTGTCCCGTTGCTACTTCACACCGTCTGCGCGTTGCTGTATATTGGATTGCTGAAAAACACGCAGACCACCCAAAGTTATCGCGGGTTTTATGCGATGGCGAAGCGCGGCACAATCGCGCTTGACCTTTTCTTAATGTTCAGCATAATAGCGTTAATATGGAAGATATATGATATGGAATGTGTGGTGACGGATGCTGATGAGGTAAGACTCATGCAATGTTGCGGTTACTAACTGTAAAATGTTTTTACTCAAGTTGGAGTTTCGATTCGGGACCAAGAGCATCTTGTGCAGAATTTTTTGCTGATTCCGAATCTGTTTTCCAAATTTCGGCGGACTTTTATTTTAAAAGTCATTTTGGGTGCAAATTAAGCTTGAAAGAGCCAAAAATTCGGGTCCTGGCCCACTATTCCCTCCTTCGTTCTGGATCTCCCAGGGGCCCTGAAGTGCTCTCTCACAGCTCCCCTCCTGGTTGGCACCATGGTGCATTGGCAAAGTACTCGCTTACCAAGCGCCGGGCGGCGGTTCGGAACCCCGCCCTGCATCTTTCTTTTGCTTTTTGCCTAAGAAAATTTAATTTCATCCAAAAAAAAAGCTTGCTTTGACTTTTAAGATGCTTGTCTAGCCAACTTTGAAGTTGAAATCGATCAGGAAAACCGAAAACGATAACGGTTCCTTGATTTTGGTGAAAAACACTACCATATTTGCTGTATAACTTTCAAAATAAAAGTTCGCAGCAAATTTGGAAAGCGGATTCGAAAACAGCGAAAAAATTCTGCACAAGATGCACTTGGTCCCGAATCGAAACTCCAACTTGAGTAAAAACACTTTACAGTTAGCGTCAGTCTTTCACTGTCAATCGCTCGAAGGCGTGTCTTTAGATTTGCCGACTCGACCCATTTTTTTTTGCCAAATCGATAACATAATCATACTGCGAAACTTTGAATTAGTGATCGCCTATCTATGTGGCTACGGCATCATATTTGTACTTTCCGTTATCTTTTACCTTGTCATCTGCTACATTAATATTCAACATTATTTTGCTACAAAAGCCAATCCAACGCTCAGCCAGCGTACCCGCCAAATGCTTCGATATTTTTGTTTGACGTTCTTTTTACAGGTAGGTTTTTAGCCTCCCGAGAGCCTACATATCATTGATTTAGTCTTATATGGCAATTCTGTTCCTAGGAGTGCCTTGTCGTTTTTTCGTCGTTTATTTGAAAATTGCGGATTTGGAGGTGCTGTTCTGTAGTAAGCATTGAAGAATTATCAGAAAAATCATGGTCCTAGTCGTCGGACTAATGGGCTTTTCCACCTCTCTACATTCTCTGGGAAATAATATAGCTGTTTTGCTCGCCACAAAAGCATACCGGATGGTCCTATTGCGATGGTTGCGGTTGATTTACTTGGTAATATCGAGTCCATATCTCTTACAACTATCTTCAGAAGTTCAACCCTTGGGCCGACCATCATTCAGTCGCTATCTCACCTGCTAATTGGAATTTAGGAATTATTGCGAACAAAAACTCGCCTATGCCATCTATCGCAAAGATGGGCTTCTCAAGAAGCGAATACTCAGGCGCATGATAAAATTGGTTTGATCTGAGGTAAGAAGCGCATTCAACAGCCAGGCACAAAAGAGGCCCCAAAAAATCCCGCGATACAGAGTATTTTTTGTCCAGCAACCCTTTTTAGGTATTTTAGCCTTTTCTGCAAGCTGAAACCACCTGTCGGTCTCTCCAAAAATAAAGTTTATCTTCGCTGGTCCTAATTCTAGCAAGATCAACGCTGATATAATGTTGTTTTAAAAAAACTTCTGGGCTTCTGAACAACGAGCTGTTTTAAAAAAATCGAGCAAATTTTCATTAGTTTTGGCTGTGAGGCTGTGCGTCAGGCTCGGAATTCTTGCCCAGCAATTACCGGTTATCGTTAATGTAAAAAAATTGGCTTGCGCTTTGTTCGTAATACTTTATTCCAGTTTCAAGCCGCTTCAACGCGCAAAAACATCCACGATGCCCTCTGGAGCATTGACTAAAACCATTTCGTACACCGCGGGGATGCCCTCGGTGTAACACGCAAACTCCGAGGGTCCTTCACGATGCATAGCATAGTCCTGTTGTGTCTGGAATAGACGGAGTGATCGGAAACATAAATCTGTGAATTGTAAAGCTATTGAATCTACAACTTCAAGCTTTCAAACTACAACTCCAGCTTTCCACCGTCAAAAATAGCCAGGCCAGATCGGAGCGACCACTCTTACCACCGCATTTCTCGCCCCAATTTGCCCAATTGAATTGAAATGGAAAACAGGGCATCGTGGCAGGATGATTTGGGGAATTGGTAGACCCAACAATAAAATTGGTCTTCAATTTTTAAACCTTTTGATTTTATTTCATTTTGTTGTGGGGATGTCAAATCCTGAACTCGCTGAGGGGTAGGAAAAACGGCCAGACTCGTTAGTGCATCTTTCGGGCTCCCCGACACTTGCGGCGCGACACCTGCGGCGCGACACCTGCGGCGCGACACTTGCGGCCGACACTTGCGGCGCGGTCATTTGCGGCGCGACACTTGCGGCGCGACACTTGCGCCCGACACTTGCGGCGCAGTATTTATTATTTTAAAAAAATGTTGAAAATTTGGCATTTCTTCGCGGATTTTGTTTGTAATTGTTGTATTTCTGTTCAAAATTAGCAATTTAAACGACTGGCAGTCGGAATGCCCCTGAGGGCGTCAGGCAAGGTGGGCCGTCGCTTCGGATGGGTGCGAGCTCGTACCCATCCGAAGCGACTAGGCCCCGGGTGGCACGAAGCCTTTTTTTTAGTCGCAGAGCGGAGGAAGTAGCAGCCACTTTCCCTCCAAATTGAGTGACTTCTGTCGCAAACCCGACTTTTTACAATTTTTTTTAATACGAAATTCGGACGCAGCTTATAAAATACACCTTGAACTATTTTTATATAGCTTATACTAAATAACCGCAAGGTCGCGCCGCAAGTGTCGGGCGCAAGTGTCGCGCCGCAAGTGTCGCGCCGCAAGTGTCGCGCGCGTCGCGCAGTGTCGCGCCGCAAGTCGTCGCGCCGACAGTGTCGCGCCGCAAGTGTCGCGCCACCAGGTGTCGCGCCGCAAGTGTCGCGCCGCAAGTGTCGCGCCGCAAGTGTCGCGCCGCAAGTGTCGCGCCGCAAGTGTCGCGCCGCAAGTGTCGCGCCGCAAGTGTCGCGCCACGCAGTGTCGCGCCGCAAGTGTCGCGCCGCAAGTGTCGCAGCCGCAAGTGTCGCGCCGCAAGTGTCGCGTCGCAAGTGTCTGCGCCGCAAGTGTCGCGGTACCATCTTTCGGTGCTTCAATGCAAAATGGGCTTTTGGAAAAACCAGATGGCGTTTTGTGTGTTTTAACTCTCATTTGTTACCTGGAAAAACGCATCCGCCATCCAAGGCCATGACGTAAAGGGTAAATTTATTAAACAAACTGTCCGGTAGCGCTTACAAACATTCCATCCTGATCAAATACAAATTACAAGCCTGGCGCCGGGCCGTAAAGCCCAATTTGGTCTTTGGGAAAGTTGGCAAAGACCAGCGCGTACATCTTTTCTTGCCATAGGGTGATGCAGTCCGCCCACGGGTTTGGGTTCCTCACCAGATCAGCAAGCATCTCGAGCGCGGCAACAAGCCTGGTGTTCTAAAGCGCAACGTGAAATTTTTTTTCTGGAAGAGCTCACGTATAGTACATGCAGTCTTGCGAGATCGAAAACACCGCGTTCACTGTCGCAGCGATTGCCCAACTTTTCGTAGGAACAAGTCGTGAATTTTATCATCCATCTAATAGTTTGCAATGGTCAAGTCTTCTCTAGACCTACTCGCAAAACAGCTCGGGATCCTCGCGAAGCTCCGTCAAATTCTGCGATGGCGAGTGGCTTGGGGTGCATTCGGCAACGATTTCATTTTCGATCGGATCGGTACAATCAAGGAGTTGCGAAACTTCAGAACAAGTTTTGTGTAGATACGAAAGCCTGGACTTACAATGATTATTCATTGCCGTGCCATTACACGCCAGTGCCTGCAGTCTACTGCGGCTTAGTCGCACGACATCCTCATTCTTCATGATCAAAATGATATTCCGTAGTTCTTTGGAATCGTGGAACTTCTGTGCCAGGGCAAATTCCATGCTATTCACATCCACGGTCGGCCTATCCCGCGATTTTGGTGGACCCAAAAAAAATACGTAACATAATAATGGAACAGCTACCCGCACAGTTGCTCACGGTCCGCAATGACGCGGTGTTTCGACTGGAAGCAACCAGGTTTCGATTTAATCATGGTTATACCCGAATTCTCGATGCGTCGTTAGCATTCGGCGTCGGCAACTGATAGCGGTCCCGCAGGTCTTCGAGGGATTTCTCTAGCCATTCCTGACTTCCGAAAACATTGGAATACAGTAAGAAAGCGGGAATCGTCACAAGAAAGTTCATTTGCGGCGAACTGGCAAATGATTTTGAGGCAAACTTCTAACAATTTCAATTTTGGCAGCATGGCGCGACCGAACTAGCCAAAATACATTATGACTGGGCCTGGGTTTCGGCTGGGGGAATCGGGAGGTGTTGTTAAAAATCCCCGACACCTCTTTTGTTTTTGCAAAATTTTAGGTCGACATATTGGCAAGAAGAACAGCAAAAACGTCAAAGTGAAATAGGAGTCCGGAAGTCGGATTTGTGTATTTTCGTTATTACTGCCTCAGCCAATGATTGCAATATTTATTTAGTCCAATTTCACACGCGAAATCGACATCAAGGAGCGAAAATGTCGACGGCATCGGCCGGAGCATTCATGAATATCGTTGTTTTTTCGTATCGTAAAATTATATAAAAAATTATCGTAAAAAAGTTGATTTCATAAATACTTAATCAGCTAAAAGAAAGAATATGGATTGTCTCATAATCCGACCGTAAGAGCTTGTATCAATGTTTTACCTACAAACACCCGCTTCAACCTCCTGAAATCGTTTCTCATTCCCTTCCGCGACGGAGATGAAGAACTAAGATGCAACTATCAACAAAAACTAGCTTGGTTACGCCTCGGAATTAGTTCTTTGATTTAAAAACTACAAACTTACATCCTCGCGTAACGGGCCACAAACTGCTGCATGGAAAAACAGGCACAAGAATATTCCGACTGGGAACATTCCTGTTTGTAAAGTGAAATTTAGAGAAGCCGTTGGCCGTGGTGAGACTTTTTCTAGACCGAAAAATGATTTGTCTACCATGTTGCGTGAGTCATTTTGCGGTGCTGCGTGCCGCCACAACAAATTTCTCAATTTCCATATTTTATTAACTTTAAAAATTGACCCGAAATGGTTACAGGGTTGTAGTTCGAAATCGGTGGCTGTCAGGCCGCAGACGTGCCAATCGGGAGAGCCAGAGGGAGAGAGAAAAAAAAAGAGAGAGAGAGAGAGAGAGAGAGAGAGAGCGAGGCGTAACCGATTTCCCTATGGCCGCGCGCACTCTTTAAAGACCGCTAGAACTCTGGAACGCACACTGTCACCCCGGGGGTGCTGCCCCCAAGAACACGCGGAGAGAGGCGTCATTAGTGGTGCCCCGTATTGGGCAAGGGCTCTCTGGGGTTTGGGGCACCTCTGATTCCTTCCCCAACTTGGCCCTGTGGTATATTGGCTAGCGCGCCGGACTGTGGAGCGAACCATCGCGGGTTCGACCCCCGCCCGGTGCGCAACTTTCTTGCTCTCAACGGACTTTCATCGTTCTGGCGGTCTTTAATCCTACTATCCTACTATATATAAAAAAATAGTGTTTGTGTGTGTGTGTGTGTGTGTGTGACACTTTGCATGCAACTTCCGTCAGGGTGTCCGGAAGATATCTCAAGAGGGGAAGGATCCTAGGCTGCGTATGATACGTCATTAGGTGTGTAATGGCTCTGGGATGCCTGCACACATATCAAATGTTGCAAATTATGTTATTTTCGACATTAAAATTAAGTTTTTGTTGAAAAATCGGCCGCTCTCTTTGTTAGGAAAAATTAGCATACTCCGGAAGTTGCGGTAGCCTATATATAATGCGAGAGAGGCGAGTTTTTCATTTTTTCAATGCAGAGAATTCGAGAGACGTATGCAAAGTGAAGAATAATCGGGTTGGACGGGGCCAGGGTTGAAAAGTCGCGAAGCGGCTTTTCAACACTGGTCAACTATAATAATTTTGCTGTGGTCTCTGTCCGTCTGAAGCCGAATTCAACTCGAAGGGGAAAGGAGCTAGGGCTTAGCTCTCTTCGGATTCGGATAGAGCGCCGTCAGAAACCCCCAAACTGATAAAAAAATTATGAAAAAGTTTTAGGTTAAATTATTAAAATTAACTTTGAAAGTTTTTTCCTTAGTAAAAGGGGTGGGCCCCTCTCCCGGGAGGCCACGCCCGCTTTCCCTTCGCCCCTCTTCCCCAGGCCCCTTCCCGCGCCCAGATCGCTTTTTTAAGTTACTTTAATACTTTTCAATATACTTTTTAATACTTTTTAATTATGTTAATTAATTATTTAAATTATTGAAAGTATCTAGGAAGGTATTTAGGTAGTTTTTGAAGGGGATTTCAGCCATGGGGGGTATCTGAAGCCATCGGGAAGGTATTTAGGTAGTTTGACTTGAGGGATTTGGCTATGGGGGTTATCTGAAGCCATCAGGAAGGTACTTAGGTAGTTTTTGAAGGGATTTCAGCCATGGGGGTATCTGAACCATCGGAAGGTATTTAGTAGTTTTTGGACGGGATTTCGGCTATGGGGGGGGTATCTGAAGCCATCAGGAAGGTATTTAGGTAGTTTTTGACGGGATTTCAGCCATGGGGGGGTATCTAGTCATCGGGAAGGTATTTAGGTAGTTTTGACGGGGATTTCGGCTATGGGGGGTATCTGAAGCCATCAGGAAGGTATTTAGGTAGTTTTTGACGGGGATTTCAGCCATGGGGGGTATCTGAAGCCATCGGGAAGGTATTTAGGTAGTTTTGGACGGGATTTCGGCTATGGGGGTATCTGAAGCCATCAGGAAGGTATTTAGGTAGTTTTTGACGGGGATTTCAGCCATGGGGGGTATCTGAAGCCATCGGGAAGGTATTTAGGTAGTTTTTGACGGGGATTTCGGCTATGGGGGGTATCTGAAGCCATCAGGAAGGTATTTAGGTAGTTTTTGACGGGGATTTCAGCCATGGGGGGTATCTGAAGCCATCGGGAAGGTATTTAGGTAGTTTTTGACGGGGATTTCGGCTATGGGGGGTATCTGAAGCCATCAGGAAGGTATTTAGGTAGTTTTTGACGGGGATTTCAGCCATGGGGGGTATCTGAAGCCATCGGGAAGGTATTTAGGTAGTTTTTGACGGGGATTTCGGCTATGGGGGGTATCTGAAGCCATCAGGAAGGTATTTAGGTAGTTTTGACGGGGATTTCAGCCATGGGGGGTATCTGAAGCCATCGGGAAGGTATTTAGGTAGTTTTTGACGGGGATTTCGGCTATGGGGGGTATCTGAAGCCATCAGGAAGGTATTTGGGTAGTTTTTGAGAGGATTTCAGCCATGGGGGGTATCTGAAGCCATCGGGAAGGTATTTAGGTAGTTTTTGACGGGGGATTTCGGCTATGGGGGTATCTGAAGCCATCAGGAAGGTATTTAGGTAGTTTTTGACGGGGATTTCAGCCATGGGGGGTATCTGAAGCCATCGGGAAGGTATTTAGGTAGTTTTTGACGGGGATTTCGGCTATGGGGTATTGATGATGTTATTCTGGGGGGTATTGATGGAGGTGGGAAAGGATGTGGTGGAGTGGGACATGTAGGGTAGCCCGAAGGCCAGATGGTTGCAGTCGCGAAGCGACTGTAACCATCTGGTGCTTTTACGCGTTACGAAAGACCACGCTTAAATAAAACATGATATCCACTATACTCTGCCTATACTCCCTGGGGGTACGGCAGAGCATAATATCCACATTTTATTGAGCGTAGATGTAAATTGCACATTATTATAGCCGAGTATTCCTTTGTTTTACTCATTCAACCCTGGTAGCGTTTCCATACTCATACTTTTAATCTTTTCAGACCAAGAGAGTTTAATTCTTAGAAGGTTTTGTGATGTATTGCAGAGTGCCAAATTTTTGGCCATCGCAACAATTTATTTCGAGAAGGATTTACTGAGAAAGGAAGTAATCATGAAGCAAAAATATCCAGGACGCCGTCCGGGGCATTCACAAAACTGAGCTCATACAGGGCGCCAGCGGCGGCGGCCAAAGCTTGTTCAGCTGTTTTGTGTTCACTTCCGATCAGGTATTGTAGGGCTTTTACCTGGAATTTGATTTTAGGTTGTGCAGAAACACAGATGCGCTTCTCCACCTAACACCATGGAACAGAACGAAACCCACCACAACCAAGGTGAGTCTTGCTGTATCATAAATGGCCTCTTTTCCACCGCATTTTTCGCCCAATTCCGTGAAAACACAGGTGATCACTGCAGGTCTGAACACGAGACTAAAAGGTATGAAAGGCCCAAGGAGGGAAGCTGATTATACAGGGTGTCCCGAAGAAACCCCCCATCCGGCATTCGGCCATCTTACATCCAAAGGGTCCCAAAAATTGGACCAGTGGTGTATTAGGCCCTAAATAACCAGAGTCCTGAGCTATAGCCCGATAGCTACTGTAATTCTCATGTTTCATCGAAAATAAATATTCGAATAAATATAAATAAAACATCATTCGAAAATAAAACATTATAAATAAATTTCCATTTTTCATCGGGTTCCCGTGCGATACGACCCTTAGATATTAAGGGGAATGATTCGGTGAGCTTCCTTCACCCCAAGAATTTTTTGGGCCAATATTTGATGAAATAAGCATCGTTTTCAACGGTTTTTACAAGGCAAGCTCACTCCAGATAGGAAGTGAAAATAGGGATTCACAGCTAGAAATCGATGCAAATCGATGCAACTTCCAAAAGCCAGTCGCAAATTGTTGAAATTTGCGGAAAAACAGTATTTTTGTGGAAACTTGAGAACTACTGTAGCTATGGAACTATAGGTCAGGGTTGTTTTTATTTAGGGTCCACCGATGGCCCAATTTTGAGACCGCCCGGATGCAAGGCTGCGAAATGACGGATGGGTCTTTTCTTCGGGAGCCCCTGTATCAGAACCTACATTTCGTTTTCTAGCTCCGAAGTTGCGTTGAGTTTGTCCACCAAATAACCGCAGGGTTCGAAGACCTTGGTTGTGTTCAGGGCCTCCAGACAGGAGCCCACCCGAACAACTAAATGGATTACACGCCGAAAAGTTTGGGTCTTACATCTAGTGCTCAAGCGCTCCCCATCACATGCAAAGATTTTTGTCTTGGCGCGAAGATTCTTGATACCTGCCCTGGCTTCTAGGCGTTTGGCCAGCGAGAGAGCAAGCTCGGTTCGGTTTTGCACGTTGGTGGTTTCGTTTTGAATGGTGAGAAGGTCGTCCCGCATTTCATCAATGTTATACCATAGTAAATCATCAATGTCCCTATAGAAGAGTCTGTAGCGACCAGCTTCTCAAAAAGTCCAGACCCGCAAAAAATCCCATCTGCATAAGGATCACCGCCATCCCTGCCTGCGCGAGGCTGAGTAGGGAGATGGAGCGAAGAGAGGAGCCGGACTTGAGCTAGCAGGCTTGGTAGCTCGACCTATGAAAAAACCCGTTGGTAACGCAGAAAAGCCGCGCTTACAGTATCCCAGGCCGGAGAAGCAAACGAGGAATAGAGGCCGAAAACGATAAATAGGAGAGTTAGTTTCCGCATTTTTGTCGAAGTAGAAGACTGAAGGAATCGGCGGGCGTGGTGTAGAAAGTGTTGAAAAGGTTGTAGCCAAAACAGTCAATCCCTTGCACTTTGGTGCGTAGTCATCATGGAGAAATTCAGCTGTTTGTTTCATGACGTTTTAAGAAATTGTCGAAAATCAAGAACAAACGTTGACGTTTCTCCATGTCAAAACCCAGTCATGTCGATTAAAAGTTTGACAACCAGGTGAGTCTAAGGTTCTCAGTTTCATTAAATTTAGTCACTGAGCCAGACATCCTTTTATTCAACAAAAAAACGACCAGCAAAGCCGCAATTAAGGCCCAAAAATATCCTTTGTGCCTTCTGGGGCCTTCATAAAAATTATCTTGTACATCGCGGCCACCGTTTCGACGTCGCAGTTGGTGGACTGCCCCTTATCCCGCCTCGCCGCCACCAGGGCCTTCTGGGACTAAATTAAATAAAATTTAACCCAATGGGTGACTTACTTCGATCAACGTAAATCTGGCCAAGTCAAACTCCGTGTTACTCCCGCCGCAAATCTCGGCAAGTTTGTGTCCGGTACAGCTTAGCCATGCGCCCCACGACCTGAAACAGACGTGTAAATTGCGATTGTAACGTAATTGCGTAGACAGTAATGGATCCAATCGAATTTAAATTTTTACTGACAATGCGGACCTAAAAAAGCTATCAGCCGACGTTTCAATGCATTTTAAGGTCTAGTACAACGAAAAAGTGGTTTATTTTTATTTTGTCTAAAGTAATTTTGCCGAAAACTCATTTCAACTTATTTTCATTCATTTTTTCGGAATTTCAATGCGCTGATATCCCAATTTGCGTGATGCTCGAGATGAATAATTGCGGCGCAAGAGGCAATTTTGACAAATTGAAATTTCGACAAACTGATATTTCGATAAAATGAAATTTGGACAAACCGATGTTTCGAGAAAATTCTTTTCGACAAAGTGAATTTCGTCAAACTGATAGCAAACCCAAACAAGTTATGGCTTAAACCGCCTTTTAGGTTTTTTTTACGCTCGTCTAGTGATTCGCACGCAAATTTTGGGTAATTTTTTGGGAAAAGGGAGATGCTGGATCCGTTTTTATCTGCTTGGTTAGCAAAAAGTTGGTAATATCCGTGAAAGGTATCCACCGCCACTTGCACCGTCGCACTCCGTAGTCTGTCTCCTGCCATTCGGCTCCGACTTCCGTTCTGCACTCATGACGGCAGCGTTCGCCGTGTGTCTGTTCGCAGGTAAATACTTGCAAGACTGAAAACGGATTTCCATTTGGGCAACCACCGGGTTGCCTAAACCCCAATTTGCAAGCTCTGACTCACATCTTTCGTTAAGCACCTCGCCATCACACACAAAGCGTTGCATCCTTTTGTGCAGCGCATCGAGTTCCTCGATCCACTCCACATACTCGATCAGATCGTCGGCCACATCCGCTCTTTGCTCCGGGATAGTCTGGTTCTGCATGTACCGTATGGTGTCTCCGATATTACGGTGGGTCATATTGTGCCACGAATAGAAAGGGGATCTGAAAAAAATCTATGTTGCCGGTTGCTTTTTTCCCCGGATAATCAGCTGGTAGGGGCGAGGAAATTTTTGCCTAGTAATAAAACATAATATGGTTTGAGTAGTAACAAAGTAAATAATAAAACAGAATGTCTTTGTGATTAACTTATTATTAGCTTATCAGATCAAAGAACCACCATAAAAACAGTTTCACAGCTTCTAAAAATCTTGTTATTTAGCGACTCTTGGTGATTTTTGATACATTTTCGGCCAAGTAATCGGCATGTTTGGTACATTTTTTGCTAAAAATTCCGTAGTTTTCAAGATTTTTTTGGTTTTTACAACATTTTTCGATCTTCAGAGCCCTTGACAAATGTTAAGAAAATTGGCTAATGCTCAAAGCCAAGTGAAAAGCTATTCCCACCCGCATATTTCTTCCTCAAAGCGCCTGACGGCCTGCTCAACGTCTTCAGCAGACGGAGAAGGAAAGCCCTGAGGAAGAGACAATACAAGATTTCGAGAAAACCTCTACCGTAACATTGTAATGTATGGCTAACACTGCATGGAATAGGAAAACGTGAAGCAGGCCAGCGCGCATCGCCATTTTCCCCCTTCTAGAGAATTGTGGAGGAATTCAGGCAGAGGAAGAAATTCGAATTGCTAGACACAACAAATGGTGGCTCATTTTCATCACAGAGAAATTGGGATGAAAAAGACGGTTCTTTCTTTCTTTCATCATTCAAGCCAAGAAGCAAAAAAAAATCCAGATTTGTGCGATTTGCTAACCGAAGTTAGAATCGGCTTTCTGTGGTCCATTTATATTGGTTTTTATCCCCAAGAATGATCAAAGATGTTGACGGGCAAATGAAATACAATGATAATTCAGGGTCGAAAATATGCACGAAACCTTTTGGAGCATTCCAGAACATCAGGCAGTGCACGCAGCACGTAGCTGGACACAACCCTGGCAAAATTGGCAAATTGAGAAGAAAAGGTGACCCTCGAGACCGTGATTTTCAAGAACTGACTTCCGGAAAACAAAAATGTACTTGATCATGGGAAAAATTACGTGCACCGAAATCCTTCCTGCAAATAACGACTAGCCTGTCAATTCAAATATTTTGGAAACTTAGGTTTTGGTAAGACATTATTTTATTTCGACATAATCGCATGAGATTTAGGAATCAAGCGGCAAAAATGTCCACGACGTCATCAGGAGCATTCAGGAAAATCGCCTCATAGACGGGATCCATGGTTTCGTGGTAGCACGGTGGGGTGTATGACTGCTCCCCATAAAGTTGAATCCGACGCGGTTTGTCCTGAATAGGCTGTTGCCGCAAAACTTGGGAAATTTTTTAAAAATATTTTGGTAATATTTTAGGAACTTATAGTTTTTTTGTTATGCCTCACCGATAGGAGTCACGAGACGTAAGAGAGCTGCGATTTTTTAGATAAGGCACCCCGCATACTTTAAATAAATTACTTACCATCAGGACTCCAAATCGAACAAGATCAAAGATTGCACGTTTGCCACCGCACTTATCGCCGAACAAGGCCAGTTCGCATTTTAGCATCGGGATCTCAGGGCAATCGGGTGATCCATGGATAATATGGCCAGCTTCCTCTGGGCAGTTGTCGCTTATTGTCCGCGCGTTCGTGCTAGCGCACGCAAATAAATCGGCAACTATAAATTCTTTAAGACTAGGGGGAGGTTAATGAAGAGGTTCTGGATTGTTAGCGGGGTGGGGGGAAAGAGAACCACTTGAAAATTTTCATGTATTTTTGAGCAAAATGTCAAACTTTTTCGATAATTTTATAATTTTTATGATGGCCTTTTTTAACTAACTGCGCAAAATACAAAAAAAAATGGATTATATTTTGAAAGCCGTATAGAATTACTGGGAAAAATCTAGTTTCTCCCGCTAAAAATCCCGCTCCGCTAACGGCCCAGAAACTGTCGTGTAAGGTCGGCCGTGGACCTACAATGCTGCTTCAAAACGGTTCCGTTGCAGACCAGGGTTTGCATTTTTTTGATGCAACAACTCCATTTCTGCTCTGACTTCCAGCAGATTGGCCAGCCCTCGCGTCTTCTCGGCTCGTACTTGCGGATCCGTTTCGTTTCGATAACGCTGCAAGGCGGTCTGGAGAGAGAAATGCTCGTCATATGGTCGAAAAATCCATTTTGGGACGGTCATGCTGAAAATCCGGAATTTCGTTGAGAAATTATACAGGTTTACGCGTCTGTAACATACTTAAACTGCACTCTAACCATTATGCATGATGAGCAGAATAGAGATCGCTACCCCCCTACTATTCAATGCCAATAGCCGGATATAAAAAAACCGTTTCATTAGAGGTAGCTTACCGACAAATTGCTGCCGCCTCTTCTAAGTCAGCATCTGGTTGCGCAGAGGGCTAGAATTATTTGACGTGCGCAATGGTATAAAAAGCTTAAGCCTAAGCCTAAGCTTAAGCCTAAGCCTAAGCCGAAGCCTAAGCCTAAGCCGAAGCCTAAGCCGAAGCCTAAGCCTAAGCCTAAGCCTAAGCCTAAGCCAACCTTACCGAAGATCCGTACGGAAGCGCATCTACACCATAAAAGAAAAAGATCAAGAAAACGAGCGCCATTTGCCCCATTTTTCAAATCGAAAAAGACGCCTGAAAACCAGAAACCGAAAGTGTTCAGCGAATTCATAGACATAATAATGACTGTCTTTTCCAATTTTGCGCTGGTTTTGTGAATTTTCCCGATTTTATTGAATTTGCAGTCACAACATTTATTCCGGTGCCGAAATCGCTCATTGCCAAATGTTGACCTCATCGTAGGGCCCATACTGGTAAAGAAGTCTGTAAAGTAGGTGGCGCATCTTCTGATCACACGGACGCCTCGCGATGCTTTCGGGTGTGTCGGGGCTCAGCGCGTCGACCAGACGGTTCTTAAGTGGGATCAGGAAGCCTGGAACGTTTCCTTACCAAGATCAGCGTCAGTCTGGCATTCGCAAAGATTTCATAACCGCCGCCACAGGCCGAGCCGGTTTTCATCATCAAGCAGACGTCCAACTCCGCGTCGTAGCTAAAATATGGCTTACAGGGGCTCGGAAGTCAAAATTCGTGCATCCGGGGACTGAACCTAGTGGTCAAAAAACGAAAGAGTCACTGCCGAGAAGTACCAGAAAAATGATTTACATATGCCTTGTGATGCAGCCAATCTCTCGCTCTCGGTGATTCTCTATCAATTTCCATAATTCAAAAGTCTAGAACGATCAAAATTCCAGGAAGATTATAGAAATAGTTTGAGAATTTTCAAATTCAAGCGTTTGCACGCCCAAACAGAGGCAAAAAGCTCATGCGGCGCGGTCGCGTTGCGGCCGCATCTGGCTATTTGCCAGGAATCAACGCGGGGCGCCGTGGATCACTTTTCGGAGCCTCTTTAATCTCTTAATTTTCTAGAAACGATTCACGCTTTATTATTTATAGTTTTCTAAAACACCTTCTCGCAAGAACTTATGGGCACGTCAATCCACTAATGAAATCGTTTCCTAGCGCAATCGAGTCGTCAAGAGCATTCCGGCGATCCCGGTCCGTTTCCAAGAGCGTGTTTTAAAATACTAACCGATGGAATAGCTTGGATTTTATAAAATTGGGATTTGCTGTTGCCTTAAAGGGCACGTTCAGGGACGTTTTTTTTTTGGAAAAAAGCAAAGATTTTTGCCGCGGCCGGGGGTCGAACCCGGGCCCCCCGCTCGGGAGGCGCGGATGGATACCAGTCAGCCACAGCTACAACCTGGCGAGGGGCCGAGGGGCGCCCCACCCCGCAAAGGAGCGGAATGGCATGTCACAGCACGGGCAGGCAGTGCGCGCGGTCCCTACGTCCAGAGGGTGTACACGTTGGGACGAGTACACGGCCCCTCCCTGAACGTGCGCTTTAAACCTTGGGAATCGCTTACTCGCATTTCTCCGATGTCTCGTGGTCTCGACTCGGTTGCTGACACAGTTCCGTGGCAGCATTCAAATGTTTCAGTTGGCATTCATGCGAGCGGAGAACTAAATGAGTAAAGGACTATCGGAACAACGCAGGCTATTGTCAAAATACCGAAATTCGCAATGTCGAAATTTCTCAGAATTTCAGGGCATTTACATAGACAAATTCTATGAAAAACAGCCTAGTCCAAAAAAATTTCGAGGTATTTATGGAATTCCGGCACTATTTTATGCTAAAAACGTCCACTAACAGATTTGGCTTCCCACCGCCTGCCTTCCATTCCACACCGTCGCACATGATTTTATGGAGCCTGCGGGCCCCGTTGTGAAGCTGATTGGCAGCACTGATCCTTTCCCTCAGTTTTGGCATCCTCTCCTCGAATTCGTCGATGGTGGCTTGGTGGAGGAACTCAACATCGTCCTTGATGCTCTCTGGGTTCCAGCCGATCTTTAGTGCGGTATTTAAATCCCTAAATTCATACACTAATGAGATCCAGCCTTCATTACCGGCAGAAGCTCTTCTTGAACCCGTTCGGGAGCCGTTCCGTCTCGTTGCTCTTAAGCATATAATTCCTTTATTAAGATTAAATCAACCTCGGCCGACTTCAACCAGCGCTGCGGCAAATTTTTCTCCCATCGCTCTTGAGCAGCTACCGATGGAGCCAAGAGCACGACTAGCAATAAACAGGAAAATACAGCCATTTTTCATGTGCTTGTGAAAAAACGGCTAGGTCCGTTATATATAAGCCATCTTTTAACCAAAACTGTGATTCATTTTTCATCAAGAAGTTTAATTTCCCGAATCAGGGCAGTCCCAAAAGTTTTGACTAGGCGACTCATTTCAAACAAAACTTTTGATACGTTTTTTCAGCCCATCTCGGGCCGCTGTCAATTTCGGATGTTTGTATTACCAATTCCGGGCCAATACTTTGCATTTATACAGTCAAGACACGGCAATTTTCATGGCCATGGGCGCAGCATGCCCTTGGAGATATATTTTGACTAGGCACTGGTGAATCGGCTCTCACAGCAAGAGTCTATTGGGCCTCATAGGCTCGAAAATTGCAAAAACGATACAAATAGGAAAAAAACAGGAAAAGACTTCTAGAAATTCTGCTTTTGTCTTTTTTTTCTAAAAGGTTCTTTCAGTTTAGGGGTGAGGGGGTTTACCGAGGACCCCAATTTGATCTGTTTCTGTTTCTATATATGTTTTTGTAATCAATGTATGGTGATTCTATCGCATTTTCAGTCGTTTTTGATCGATAGAAACTATAAAAGCATCTTAAGATTGTTGAAACTTTAAACATTTTAACGTTTTTTGGGCTTTTTGATCAAACAATCAAATTTTTGTAATTTTGGAATACATCTAAAACATAAAAAGTTGTGAAATGCTATCCAAATGTTTTCATAGTCGGTGATAAGGCTGTATCGGATTGCCGGGAAAATAATGGCTTTCCTCCGTTGGAGACCCCCCCCCCGTTAAGGGAGAAGCACGTTCAAAAAAGTATTATGAATCTGCTGCTGAAAGCATTTATTCATTAACTGTTATTGACTCCGATTACATCATCAACGGCTTAGAATCCGGAACCACACGGCGGAACTGGTGCGGGATGGGGATAAGGCGATGGCTGGGGGACCGGGTCCGGGAAATTCGGGGTTGGGGTGTTGGTTTCCGGGGTGGTTGGCCACTCATGCGTCGGGATCGTGGTTTCGGGCTCGATCTCGATGTTGTAGAGGCTCAGGAGCCCTGCGACCAGCCGCCTATCGCATGCCTTTGCCCTTTGGACGTTGCTGAGTGATTCGTGGATCGACGCCTAAAGTTTTTTTCTAGATGGCAATAATTTCCCGATAAATTAAGACGAAGCCTTTGGCTGACCGCATAAATCGCGATTCGGGCCAGGCTACGCTGGGCTCCGGCGGGGTCCGTGCAATTTTTCGTGAAGTGAGCAAAGTAGCTTTGATAAACGTAGGGGGCCACTCTGAAAATGGCTGATTTGTGTAGCTTTCTTTTTCGTAGAATACCTGCAATCCACGGGATTCAAGAACTCGGCCACCACATCGTTAACCTCAAAGCATGAAGCCAATTCGGAATCTATAAGTAGCGCCCGGAAGTGAACCCGCGAGTGCGAATATTACATTCTGGTTTCGGCTGCAGCCCGAGACATAGGTCCCCTTTCGCCGCGGCCATCCCTGGAAGGCCGCCGTCAGACTGGTAACTAATTTTACGTATTTGTTAGAGAAAGGAGCTCGTAGTTACCCGCAGATTTGGTACGCAACACGAACCATACGATGTGCCTGAAATCATGGGTATTATGCTCTAAAACCTGCCGAATCTTGATTTTTAACTCACCAAAAAACCGGAATTATATTACCCACCGTGAACGGCATCGTCGGCGGGCCTACTGACACTTCCGGCGGCGGCGTGATCACCGGCGGCCATTTAGGGTGACGCGCTAAAGTCGCAAATCGCGATATTTTTGCGATAAAATAACAAAAGCCGTAAAACCAACCGACGCTCGCTCCAATGAGCATCACCAGCATTAAGAAACTCTTCATCTTCCTAAAAGGTACGCTAAATTAAAGTGGACCTTAACAGCTAAAACCATAAGAAAGAAAATGTTAGATTAACCTGAACGACTCAGCTTATATACAAACGGGTATCTCTTCAGCCGGACGTTTTCAATAACCCAGGAGGTTTAATCATCATTTGTCACTACCTTTCAGTTATAGAAGTTGTACACGGCTAATTCTATAAATTCAATAGAAGTGAATCGGGCTATTATAGAATGGGTCGCCACTTTGAAAACATCCGAAAAAAATTGCAAAAAAGCATTCGCTACACTCAAATTCGTGTGCATGAAATTTTTTTCTCAAATTTTTTTCCGAACAATTGATTCACCGATGAAAAACCAGCGCCGCAGGCAAAAAATTTTCAAAAAATAGGCTTCATATAACTAAAAACTGTTTGAAAAACACTAATAAACAGCGCCGCAGGCAGAAAAATTCTTGTAACTAAAAAACATCAGGGTATGAATTTATTTATTTTTGAATGAATTATGAATTTTTCGGATCGCGACCGATTTCGGAGGACTTTTTAGATTGCCTAGTTCGCGGCCTGGCTGCGTAATTTGGTCCCGGCAAATGAAATGACACCCGGCGCGCATAACTTTCAGAAAACGGGAAGTATAAGACTTATATTAACGACCAAGCGGCGAGTTTTATGAATAGTTTGCGCAGGTGGATTTTTAATGGACTTGGCCAGCGTAGAAAACCCCTGAAAAATTGTCGCTGGCTTACTTCGTGTTTTGGTAGTGGTAAAGTCAATTAATAACCGTGGTGTACCGTAAAATATCGTCATTTTCATCGAAAAAATAAAACATCACGAATAAAGGAAATGCAAAAAAAAAATTTCAGTTCCGAACTTTTGTGGAGGGTGTCCCAAAAAACCCCCCCTCTTAACGTACGTAGAAGTATTGGATCGGAATCATCGTTACACCAATCGAAAGCCCCTGAAATGGCCAGTTTGCAATAATCCTGAAAACCATGTTTTTATTCAAACACTCTCGTTTATTAGCCATTTTGTATTAGTCATGTTTTGTCTTTGTCAAAAAGCAATTTTTTGCGTGATTCCTTCATTTAAGAATTTTACGATCAAAAACCTGAAAAACTCTTAATATGTTCTCGGAAAAACGTGCCTGCGGAAGTAAATTTTGACGGAACAACGATGAATCAACTTTTGGAAGCAAGTCAATTCGGCTTCATCGGCGTTTTCGTACGCAAATATTGAAAATTTTTGTTAAGAGCAATCAGTGATATGCTGTTGAAAACATTTATTCTGGTTCATTCCCCAAACTGTTTAGAATCCAGAATCGCACGGCGGGACTGGGACCGGGTATGGATAAGGCGATGAATGAGGGATCGGATCCGGGAAATTGGGGGTCGGGGTGTCGGTGTCGCGCGTAGTCGGCCATTCAGGCTCCGGGGTCGTGGCCTGGGGTTCGATGTCAATTTTGTAGAGGTGTTGGAGAACGGTGGCCAGAAATTGGTCGCATGCCTTCACATATGGCTCCGGACGGACGGTTGATCGAAGGGTCGCCTGAATTGGTTTTTGACGGGTGAGAAAGAGAGAGAGAGCGAGAGAGAGAGAGAGAGAGAGAGAGAGTGAGTGAGGGAGAGAGCACAGAGAGAGAGTGAGTGAGAGAGAGCGGGAGAGAGAGAGAGTGAGTGAGAGAGAGGGAGGGAGTAAGTGAGGGAAAAAGCGACAGAATGAAAGAGCGGGAGAGAGCGGGAGAGAGAGTGAGTGAGGGAGAGAGCGACAGAGAGAGAGAGAGAGAGAGAGAGAGAGAGAGAGAGCGGGAGAGCCACAAACGGTCCCTAGGTATCTACGCCACCCTAGAACAAGCACTTCAAACCCGGATGACTCGCGATCGTATTAACTTACCCAGACGATGGCGGCTCGGGCTACTTTACGCGCGGCTCCGACGGAATCCGAGCAATTTTTCGTGAAGTAATCGAAGTAGCTTTTGTAGACGTAGGGCGCGGCCCTGAAAATGGGCGTATTTTCAATATCAGGAAATTCAGAATGTCGGAGCTTCGGGATGTCAAAAGGGCAGAAGCTCGAAATAGGATAAGTCGAAATCCTGCGTAAGATAATCGTGGATATTTGTGGATTTAGACTCGATATATTGAAATTTAGGAAGCTGAAATTTCAATATGAAAGTTAAATTACCTGCATTTAACGGGATTCAAAGCAGCAGCCACCAAATTGTTCTTCTCGAAGCACATGGAGAGCTGTGAGTCTGTAAAAACGCGTATATCAATCCAGCATTATCAACTACATTCGGGTTTGAGGGCAGCACCGTCGTCACACAGCTCCTGTTTTGCCGCCGCATAAGCTTCCGGATGAGCATCACCTCTATCACTGATAGAGGGAAGGATAACTTAGCCATGAGTTAAATTACCGGCAAACCAAATTCACAGCGATCTCGAGGGTTTTATCTGCCTAAAGTTTAATTTTGGCATCAGAAAAATCGGGGCTTAATGTCGTCATAAAGAGATTTTTCCACCTACCCAGAAAGGGAAAGTGCCGTCCAAGTATGACGATGCTGAAGGTGGCGAAAATTGAGCTAAACTGTGCTTATTTTCCACAACGTTGCTATTTCGGCGGCGTAATTACACCGATTCAAAATCCTTGCGCATCCTGACATCCTAAAATAAACCAAAAAAAAAGGTACCGAAACCGCCTCCAAGGAGCAGCACGAGGATCGAGAGCGACTTCATCCTCCTAAGACGGGAACAGGTAAGGATACAGCACACTGCCAGGCCTGGGTTTTATACAAACCTCAGGCTTTTCAGCCCTGCTGCTTGAATACCCGAAAAGCCTAATCATCATTTGTCACCATCTCTTGACTGATAGAAATTATATACGGCTAACTGTATGAATTCAATAGCCATGATTCAGTCCCTCCTATAGCATCGTCGCGAATTCTGTGAGTACAATTGTAATTTGTGAGTGGACGTTTTGAAGCCCGTGAACTGAGATGCCGGATTTTTTGCCAAATTCGAATCTCAAAAATCAGAACATGTAAAAAACGCGGTTATATGTTTTTGTGGTTGGTCTCATTCATTTCACTTTGTCCTTGTGGATAAGAATGGTGCACAAAAGTTTTTTATGGCCTTTATGGAATCATGAAAATACCCGCAGCGTTTGTGATACGTTATGCACACAAAAACATTATTTGAAAATAGTATAGACATCTGTTTAGAGGGTATTTAAGATAACCCTTATGTTTGTAGCATGATTTTTTATAATTTTCCTGTCTCGAAAGATTCGCAGAGGTAGATGCGGCGTCCGAGATCTGTGGTCTCGCCAAGAACCTAATAAGGAGTGCTTTTTTCGAGTCATCGGCCAAACCTTTCAGGAACTAGCTCATTCGATAGAGAATTGAATTCTGAACAAGATGCCGTTGTTCATTTTTGCGGAATGGCTATCCCTGATTTTATAAAATGAAAAACTAGTGACCGTCTCTTACCATGAGTGCGCTTTGAACAAAAAGAGACGCGTTTGGGTGCGGTTTTAAAATTGTATAAAATCATGAATAGCCATTCCGCAGACAACGGAGCCGTGTTCAGAATTGAATTCTCTATCGAATGATCTTGGTCTCGTAAGGTTTCGCCGATGACACAAAAGCACTCCTTGTAAGGTTTTTTTTTGACAAATTTTCTATCCAATCACTCGCCTTCCACATAATCCATATCGATAGTCGTTAATAAAATACATAGTGCAAATCGGGTCAATAATTGGGTAAAAGGAAATTACGATCGGGACGTAGATCCAAAATGCCCGGGAGGTAAGCAAGGATTTTGGAGAGTCTGGGAAAGCTGGCATGGGCTTTGTCACGAAACATAAGATTGGTTCGGACGTAGTGCTTTGGTTTTTACATAACCTAGCTGTTGTGGTTGTTTGCTCCCCTTTTTGAGAAGAGCTGCAAGAGTTGAGATGCAACTTTCACACCTACTCCAAACTTGAGGGTCAGGCAATAAATGTTATATCAGGCGGTCGTCTGGTAATTTATTCTGAATCAATCTAATCGCGTCGATAGACACCACACAAAAATTAACATCAGGCGATTGAGTAAAAGCAGCTCCCGGTTAGATGCCGCTCGGCGTCGTGGTCTTGGTCCTCGGTGTCGTGTTCTGAGGATCAGGCCAAGTAGAGCGCTGTTGAGGCTCGACAATCCCGTACAGCTTGGCGACGTCGTTGGCCAGCCTCTGATAGCAACTCTCCAACTCGGTGCCCCTGCGCCTAGCCGTCCAGTATTTTGCCTGGAAGATTAATGGTGGTGAGTCAAAATTCAGGACGTTTCAGACCTGTATGTACAAGCCATGCCCTGCGGAAATACGGGCCTTTTCCGGGTAAGAACACATTCCAGCGACGGCATTGATGTAAACGTTGTAATGTTGAACAGCGGTTCTGAAAACGAGCGTTAAATAGCGCCGCTTTGTCTAACCTGCACGGCATCTGGACAAGCTGTTCCTCCATCGCACCTCCAAACAAACGTTCGCCATACAGGAAACATTCCGTTATCAGCTCGACTAGAAGGTTTGGTAGAACTAACTTTTGTTTTTAAGCCCTACACTCTATCTTCAATTGTTTGCCGTCGCAAAGACCGTTCTGTAGGATAGCCAGACTTTCGGTAGCGGCGGTATTGTTGAGACTAATTTCAAGGAAGAGGTAAGTAAGTACGCCTTCGGAATATTACCTGCACAGCGGTTCCGTAGTGAGAAACGCGAAGTGCGCCTAAAGCTTAGGATCTTTTTGTGTTATCACGTCATCTGCCTACGCAATACTAGATGGCTATCCTTGACCAAGTCGCATACACCGCCTTAAAAAGCCAGATACCTACGCGACACCGCTGCTCCTATGCGCTGCTAGACCTTCGATATTATAGATTTGGTTTTATATTCACCCCATGAAAAACCTATTTTAAGCCGTCATGCGGGATAGTAACGCGCGCTGGGCGATAGTTTCGTGCTCAACCCGTACCCTAGTTACTTTCTCGACGCGACGGTACGCACCACGCACCTACATAATTCGGAACAGGCCATAACCTACATCAAATGGAATAGTGACATCGTCGTGCGGGGCCAGCGTGCCGGTCGTGGGAGTTACAGGCGATGTTTGGGCTAAAACGCGATTTTCTGTGGGGTTGGGGTAAAAAGTCACACGTGAATCTACCACTATGGGTCGTCGAAAAGCTCAAAAAAATAGTGTCTCATCGTGACACCAATTTTGATCTTACCGGAGCTCATAGGAAAAAGAAGTCCAAGGATTATAAACCACTTCATCCCGCCGAAACCTTTAAGTAGCGATTTTACAGCAATAACCTATTGGGGTAATGAAGCAGGAGACATTCTTATATACCATGCCCAAACTTTCTAGCGTCCCGCCTCTATAGCCGCGAATATTTCTCGTCCTTTTGTCACCTCACCTAGCTATACAAATTATTTGGCGGCTAGATCCGCTAGCAACTGTTGAATAGCCGGTGATTCAGCATATTCGGAGCCGTTGGCCGGCGCGTAATAGAAACCGGATATGCAGTGGGTAATTTTAGGAAAGGTTTTAAGGTCGGCGCCTCGTAATACCGTATTTCCTCTAATATAGCCCCTCCAAAAATTTTTCGAAGTTGCCTTTAAGGAGTAAAAAATACCAACAACGTTCTGTTTACGCTTTATACTGTGTTCCCGAGAGGTTGTGAGCAGTTTGAACTGCTAGAAAACGTTGTAGTTGCTCAAAATCATAAAAATACATCGTTTCCTCGAATGCAACAACGCCCTCACAGAGGTGACTGAAAATATAGAAACCGGGGTTAGATTAGAGAGATACGGTATTTTGATAACTTGTATTGTTAAAAGAATCTGCCATTGAATTTATTTATTATCAAAAATTGCGTTTTTAATGTCGAGAACCGCATGGCACCGGGTAGGGCTCTGGAGAATCCGGGGTAGTCGTATCTTCCTGTGGAGCCGGCCAAATTGGGGTCGAAGTTCTGTCCTGTGGATAGACTTCAACGTTGAAGTAGCTGGGAACGGTGAACGCCAACTCCACGTAGCACTGTCCCTCAGCGTCATTAGTAGCCACAACCATGCGGACTAGCAACTGAAATTAATATCGGGTATCGTGTCGTGGCCCGCCGCATACCTCAATCATAACTCCACGCGCCGCAACTTTCGCCGTTTTTGCTGACTCTTGGCAGCTAAGTGCCGCAGTGTTGATGTAGTCACGATACAGAATCTCTGTATCACTAAAATATGCTTCTCATGCTGCTTTGCAACGGCTTTACCTGCATGAAGCATTTTTGGCCAGCTCGGTATAGCGCTCGTTCAGTGGTTTCCCGCCCTCTTTGAAGCACTCGGTGATGTTTGTGTCTAAAAAGACACAATCACTGTAGTTTAAAAATTCCGGTAGTGGACTGCATATTTCGACGAAAGCCAACATTTTTCTAAGTTCTCGGAATTTTTTACTGTTACAAAAATTTACACCAAAAAGGTTTCTAAACTGGTATAAAAAATCCTACAAAACTCGCTTGAAAGCAATCAAAAGAGTGGTCTTTTTATAAATCCCTTACATTCAGGTTTTGCAGATCGTCCGATGCAGAATTCCTTTTTCAGGGAGATGACATAGTTGCCCCCCAGGGTATCCGACCAGCTATAAAAATAAATGTTGATAATTTTTGTGAGTAAATTACCCGCAGATTTCGTCGGCGTGCAGGAAGAAAAAGTCGGGCTAAAAAGAAAAGTAAGGAAAGGGCGTGAGGAAAATGCATTAATGGTCGAACGCCATCAGCCATGAATCGCTGCGCTTTTTTTTCGGGGCGTTTACTGCATCTAACTGACCGTGAACAACGACTTTTCTTCATTCCGTTCTCCTGATGATGCAGTGACAATTGAGGCTAGAAACTCACATGAAAACCGCGTCAATTTTAACACCTACCGGAGCTCACTACGCCCAAAAGGAGAAACAGCGTCGCGAAAAACAGCATATTTCGCTTGGGGAGGTACCGAGGTGGCGGTCATAATATAAAGGTTACTCAGGGTTTATATATGTGCCCCATACCGATCAAGTTTGTCCCCTTTATAGCTTCCCGGGCTCGTCATCATTTGTCGCCAATATTGCTCTATAGAAAAACTGCATCCAGTTATACAGCGAAAAGACACTTTCAACCCTAATTTTTTTAATTGTATGCTTGATAGAAATGATTCAGTGCCTTCCTTTTTACAGCTCGCCGGGCATCGTTATCCTCGCTTAAGGCTTGACGTCGTCGAGCGACGGCAACCGACGGGCAAGCTCCACATAGCAATCGCGGAGCAAAATACGCCGGAGACGGCGAGCACCGAGTCGACCTTAAATAAGTAAAATATTGCCATGACGATCCTTTGCAAAAATGGCAAAGCCAAAGGGCCGCGAAACGGTCTTTGCCAGCTGTAGCTCGATTTGCTATCAGATTCTCGAAAATCAGAATCTCGAAAATCAGAATCCCAGCAGTCGCGAAATGACTGTAATCACCTGGTACTAACAAACATATTACTTTCCTAACCATACAGGATTTGATTTAGCCCAAAGAAAACTTAATTGACACGACATTTTGACAACCTGACAATTTCAACCCTGTTATTTTCTCGAAATTTAGGGCTATGACTTGAACTCCCGTCGATATACCCAGGAAAAAAATCGACTTACTTGTGGCTCAGCTTTTGGGTGTGCGCGTGCAATCCGGTACCTGACGGGCCACGACGTCCTCAAGTGGAACCTCGACCTCCGCGTCCTGTGTGGGGCTGCCTTGGCACAAGATCATGTTCTGGTACTGAAATTCTACGAATTCACTTTTACTATTCCGGCCTGCGGGCTATACGGTGGGTTGCAAAAAAAACCTCGGCATTTGGCGGTCTTCTATCCGATCGGCACCAAATTTTTAAAATTCTTGGGGACGCATAAAAACTATCGGAATCCGAATTGTCTCAGCAAAATATTGTAAAACAAAAAAGTTATCGCTAAAAACGGATTTCTGGGAAACGCTGGTACTCATTTTTGGCTATCTTTTCGCAATTCGCATGCCGATTTTGAGTAATTTCCCAAAAATGGTCAATTTGGGGCCGATTCTAAAAATTCGAGATTCTGGTTTTCGAGATTCTGATTTTACGAGATTTCTCTCTCCTCTCGGCATCGAATTTCATAACGATTTTCATGATGCCCTTTAACGAGCAACCTCTCACCTTGTTTACCAGAGCAGCATTGATCCAGGCGGTGAAGACCGCATCGAGCCCAATCCCAGAGTTTAACAACATCCGGTACATCGGAGTGTCGAACTTCTCCAGCGTGGTCTGCATCGTCAGCCACATGTACTTTGGTGGCAGACTGCTCCACAGCGCCGCTGAAAAGGTGGACGACGTTGGCAATGCGGCATGCAAATTACACGTCAGATTTACAGGGTATCCCAATAAAAAACACCCCCTCTAACTCGACGCAGAAGTATCGGATCGGAATGGTAGTTACACCATTCGAAAGCCCTTGAAACGATTCCTGGCGCAAACCGGCGATCGGTCCCAAAATTGGACCAGTGGTGTATCTCACTCTAAATAAGCAAAGTCCTGACCCATAGCCCAATCGCTACAGTGGTTCTCGAGTGCAACCAAAAGACCGTTTTCTATGCGATTTTTAACAGTTGTTTCGGCTTTTTGGGCCTTGTATCGATTTGCATAAACTTCCGACTTGGTATCCCTTATTTCGCTTAAATTCCAGGTAGATTTTTGTTTGCAAAAAAACCCTTTAACTAAGCCTTTATTTAATTATTTGTAAGTCAAAAAATCCTATGGGTAAGGCAGCCTACCCACATCATGGTCAGTTCTAACGGTCGATTCCGACAAAAACCCCATGAAAAACGCATTATCAACCTTAGTTTTGTTGTATCTCGAAAGTTACTGTAGCTGGCTGGTCATGACACGGGATTGTGGTTATTTAGGGTCAGATACACCTCTGGGACGGATTTTGGGACCGATCGGATGTAAGGCGACGAAATGTCGGTGGGGTGTTTTTTTTGGATACCCTGGATATCCTATACGAGAGCTGGATCTGTGCGATAGTTACCTTGTTGTGGGGGCTATAAATGGCCATCCATCTGGCCACCATCATAATGAGCTGTCATGTCTTTGTTTGCGTCGCGACGCTGCCTATCATCAGTTGGTGCCACTTGGCGAGCGATTCGTGCATTTCCGGAGCATTCAGGCCAGCAGCCCAGCCGGCGTGGTAAGATCGCAAAATCAGCGATCCAGTCCAGTTCGCGATCACTAAAATCGACAAAAAATGGACACCGCAGGTTACTTGAAAGTTTTTCGAAAAACTGAGGTCAATAGCACGAAAAATAGTCGTTAAAATGTGTAGGACGCCTGTGTCAAAATTTGGGCTGGAATTCGTCCAGATGCCGTTCGTGAGGGGGCCAATCCCCCGTATCCATCCGGAGGCCAGAAAAAAAAATTGGACAAATCGCCATACCCCCGCCCTATTTGCCAAGATGTTGCGATGTCTTTGTAGCACTGAAGAATTGCCATCGGACGGGCTAGACCTCGACAGGCTTTGCCCATGGCATACAAACCACTCTTTCTGGGGCGGGGGGGTAGGGGACAGAATTTTGGGCTGATTTTTGGCATGGAGATTGAGAAACACATTCGCCAAAAACGCTGCTATTGTTTTCAAATTAAATTCGTATCTACCTAAAAGCAAAATAGTAAAAATCCTTAACAAAATTGGCGACGAGCCGTGGTTTTCAGGCCATAATTCGATGCCCATTGGAATTTCGGGCTGGAATTTTGCGCACTTATATATTCGATTGTGGGGAGCAGGCGCATTTTATTATGTCTACAAATTTTCAGCGGATTCATGCTAAAAATTGGAATGCGCTTTGGCCTTCGCGTTAGCGATTTGGATCAAAGCTTGGTCTGCATCCACTGTGATTCTGAAAGACGAAGGATCCAGATACAAGACCAAATATCTATATCCAGGAATGATTGTGTCGATTCATCTAATTTCAATGACACGTTTATTCCATAAATCCTTTTAACAAGTTGGACATCGTTAACGACGCGCTCATTGCTTGATGGCCGACGTCGTGAACGACGCCAAGGCTAACGGTGCCCGAGCTCCACATAGCAATCACGGTGCGCAAAATATCGTCGAGACGAAGCACCGAGTCGACCTTAATAAGCTAATATGTTGCCAGCACGAACCATCCTTTTTCGAAAATTCTCGATTACCTCAAATCAAACCGTACCCAAGCCACCGTCCCAGCGAAGCCTGTCAGTTCTGAAGGCCTGTAGCCGATTAGGACATCTGGACGAGCATCAAAGAGCAATTCCGCGAAGCACATCAACGATTTCGCTAAAGCGTGATTTTACGTGTATTGTGGAACTTTAAGTAAATTCTGGTAACCTTACGAGCATTTGGTGCTTTCTTTCAAGTAGCATGGTAATTCGCGGGAGAAGGTCTCGATGCCCATCATGAAGCAGGTGGCGATCTGCTTATCTGTAAGAACGTAGATTTCAATAGAAACCTGGTTTACAAATTTCCTAAAAACACTCATCCAGTAAAATTTTACCAGAGGTGTATTGGACCCTAAATAACCATAATCTTGACTTTCAGCCCCATAGCTACCATAATCTTTTAGAAACAACAAAAACATACTTAATTATCCGTTTGTCCTAGGGTTTTACGTTCAATCGACTTTTCCAGTATTAAATGAAAATGATGCGGCAACCCTTCTTTACCCCCTAGAAATTTCGTTCTTGAGAAAATTGGCTAAATAAACGCTTAGTTGAATGTTTTTTTACTAGTAATCAAACCCGTGCTTCCTGGGTTCTGAGCCGGGTCGATGCAAAGTCAAAAAAGGTAGCCGGAAAAGCGCGTAAAAAGCAATCTTTTGTCAATAACTTGAACACTACCGTAGCGATCAGACTATAACTCAGGATCGTGGCTATTTATGGTCCGATACATCCCTGTGCAAAGTATGGTGCCGGTTGGATGTAAGCCAATGCCGGAGAGATGCTTTTTTCGACACCCTGCATAAAAAAGTAACGTATAGACATAGTACGATATATTCATCAAAAAGTGCCTGTACCGTAAGCTATACTTACACTCTGGCTTGACATCTGTCCCGTTACAGTAGGCTTTCCGGAGCGTGGCGATATCAACTTCGGCTTTTTTTGGATCCCCAGAGAAACTTAAGCGTCGAATTTTATAGCTGCTTAATACAGACTCACTTGCAAATCTTTTCGGCCTTGACGAAGGCAAGTTGCGTCTATATACGATTTTCAGGGTTTTGATCGAGAAAACATACGTGCCACATAACCTCACCACGGCGTGAGCCCGGCGCGAAGGTCACATAGGTATCCTGGGCTAAAATTGGGTTTAATTTATTTAATTAATTAAATTTACGCTTAATTTTTTCGGACCCTACCGTAGCAAGTTCCAATCAAGGCGAAAAGGAGCGCGACAGAACCCATCATTTTGACAGGAAACCGAATAGGTATCGATTAGAAGGCTGGAGGTGACTTTCTGTCAAAACGATGGCCCTTATAAAGATACCACAGTCTTTGAAATTGCCTCTTACAATAGCGCGTCGGCTTAATCACCTTTTTGTCACCACCACGGTTTTCAAAAGAGGCTTTTCGCTACAATTTTGTAAAGCCGAATAGGCAAAGGTTTCCTCGCTACACATTGGAACTTGCGGTGCCGATGTGAACAGCTTTATCAGCATTGCTCATCGTTTGTCGTATCGTCGCGTTGAAATTTAAATTTTTTTTAAAAACTTGTCATGTTTAAAGGCTTAGAACCCAGACTCTCGCCATTTATTCATCACATTCCTCGAGCCTAAAAAATAGCGAAAGTTCGGTCGATCGGTTTTCGAATCGGGAGTAACGAATAACGCTCGAGTTTCAAAGAAGATTGTATGTATGGCTCCAGTTGACGAAGCAGAAGATGGCGAAGGCGACAAAATAGATGACGCCTAAGTGTTCTCGATCTTTTTCTCTCTGATGCACACTTTATCTCTCTCGCTCTCTCACACTTTCTTTTTCTCGCTCTTTCTCTCTCTCACTCTCTCTCTCACTTTACGCCGCCGCGATCTCTTAAAAACGATACCTGGTAGCCAAGCCTTGATATAGCCAGTTACAGGAATTTTGGATCGGGGAACTACTTTTTCTGGCCCTCCATCTGCAACACCCTCCACCAGAAACTGATGCTCAGCCTGAAGACGTTGGTTTTTTATTCTAATCATCTCTGAAACTCACTTCCGGGGCTATTTGAGGGTCATCTCTTCCCTGCCACACCGCACAAATCAGCATCCAAATCAAGGCCACTCCAGTGAAGATATTCGAGGCGCTTAGCCAATCATACACCACTGAAATCAATACACAATGGTTTGATTCCGAGCTTCACTTACGTCGCGCTCCCCTCGGAATCGATGACATCGCCAGGGAACCCTGAAAATTTCGAGCTGATTGCCTCAAACGATGCCCTTACCACCAGAACCGTTCCCAGGAGTGTTGTCGCGGCCAATGCTAGCCGGGTTCGCACTTCGGAGCTAAGACTTTTTCTGAACAATTTTATTACGGCTTACCAACGAAGAAATAATGCCAATCCGGCGACGGCGACGAACAGGAAGTTCGGGAGGTAGATATGGGTGACTAGACGCCTGAAAAGCGGTGCTTGGCATTTGGCTTCGAAAGCTTAAGGTGATGATTTGCCTAAGCATTTTCGAAATCCGCTTTTTTGAAAATTAATTTTTCCGAAAATCATATTTTCTAAAAATCACTGTTGTTGTGAAACATAGAATTTCGAAGGATTAGCATTGCTATTTCTTCCGTTTTGCGGACATTTTCTATTGAAAGCTAAACGCACATTTTCGAAATTTTCATTTCCAGACATCCGGAAAAATTAATTTCGACAATTATTTGGCAGGAAGTAAGTTTTGAAAATCCGATAAGCGGCTGCCTACCTACCATGTCGCCGAGCTTTCCCGTTGAAAGGTGAAGATGGCCCGAAGGCACGGGTATTTTTCGGAGCCTGTCCCCCGGCTGCAGGTAACCGAGTCATACGATTCGAGCCGGAAATCCTGGATGGGGTTCTCAACCAATTATTGAGTAGCTTTTCATCCTTGAGCTTACCGCCACGCCGGCCCTGGTTTTGATCGGGTTTATTTGGGCCCATTTGTAATCTGAATTTTTCGGGTTTTAATATGATCAGTATTACCAATGATTTACCTACATAATGCCGATTCACAGAATGCCGATTTACAGAATGCCGATTTACAGAATGCCGATTTTACAAAATGCCGATTTACAGAATGCCGATTTTACAAAATGCCGATTTACAGAATGCCGATTTACAAAATGCCGATTTACAGAATGCCGATTCACAGAATACCGATTTACAGAATGCCGATTTACAGAATGCCGATTCTACATAATTTGGGTTTTACATCAAAAATACAGACCGGATCCCCCAAAAAAACATTATCCGACTTGGACATGCGAATTTTTACGAATTCTTTTTTCCGCGTAGGGGTCGGGGATTACGAGGAAATCGCAAGCCTCGCGACAAGTTTTAACGCATGCCTTTCTCGCTGGTCGCCGACACTTCCAACGTGCTCAGCCGCAGCGACAAAACTCGACGATTCATTATTATTTCTTGGTTGAGAATGCCCGGCCTCACGTCGAGAGGAAGGGAAAACTGTTTTATAGAAGAATTTAATTTAGTAACCCATGGGCGGCCGCTTGGTAACGTGGAACTAGGGTTTCGCTGAAAAAAAAAAGAAAATAGTAAAGCTAGGCCTCAGGTCTGGCGGTTGCGCCATGTCCAAGTGGGATAATGTTTTTTTTCTGGGGATCCGGTTTGAATTTTTGGATGTAGAACCCTAATTATGTAAATCGGCATTCTGTAAATCGGCATTTTGTAAAATCGGCATTCTGTAAATCGGCATTTTGTAAAATCGGCATTCTGTAAATCGGCATTCTGTAAATCGGCATTCTGTAAATCGGCATTCTGTGAATCGGCATTATCAGCCTATACCATTACCAATATTCAACGCGCTCCACCCGTATGATCCCATATCGATGTGGCATTGATGCTGGTCCGTCGGGTAGTACTGAAGGATGAAGTTCAAAAAGTGTTAAAAATGTTAAATTTGACGTCGCAAAATGTTGCTCACCTGGAACCTAGGAATGCTGAGTTTTATTCTTTTTATGAAGCGCGCACACAGCGCACATATTTTTCCATATTTTTCAAAATATCTTCGAAGCAATTCCAAAACGATTTAAATGATCACCTCCAGAAGCATAATGCATTTAGTGGTCACCGAGAGGCGCTCGCTCAACGACACGGTCCCATCTAAAATCTGATGTATTTTAGTGACTCTGCTCCTGCCTGGTGCGACCCTGATCTTGGTGTGCAAATTTGATACGTCTTGACGGGTCCTGTGGAGCTCGTTCTGAAATTCGTGAATCAGCGAAAAACCTGCGAATAGACTTATTGCCATTTCGCCGGAAATAATTTTGTCGAAATCTTATTATAGCGACACTAAATATTTCGACAAATTGGCATGTGGACGCAGTGCTCTACGAAAAATAGAAATTTCAACAAAATGTTAATTCTACATCATGATATCTCGACCATATGATATTTTAGCGAAATGATATTCTGACTAAACGATTCGTTCCGCTCAGCTAAGAATATTTTTTTCCGCGTACCGTAGGATTTTTCTGCTACGCTATGCTACGCACTCCACAGACCGTAACAGCATGCAGGTTCAAATGTGGAACCGCACCCGGTTGCGTGCCGTTGTCTTACTGCAAACAATTCAAAAAATCCGGCGGTGACCCAAATTTGATTTTGAATTTTTAATCTATCATATCGTTTCACCTTTATAACTGTGTCCGGCACCCAGATCGAGAAGTGCTTTCCATCACTCGGTATTCGAAGATTAACGGGGAGTTGAACCCCCTCCGGCGCTGTATATCCCAGCCTTGGGTCCTTCCACTCTTGATGCAACGTCATTTGAAGTCTACGTAAAAATTAGCCTAGATGATCCAAAAATTCCGTTACCCAATCTCTTGTTTGTCGATGTCGAGATTCACGACATCTCGCAGCAATATGTCGAGGGTGATGACGGCGGGTTTTTCTGAAATTTTTAAGGGGTTGAAAAACCGCCGGCGGCCTACCAGGGTTGCCAAAATCGGGGCGGAAGGAGGGATTGTAGTTTTCGGAGCTGATGGTTAGGTTAAAGCTAAAATGAAAAACATTAGCCTACGCCAAATCGAGGGATAAGTCTACCGTTTGTAAATTTCAGGAACTGAACCGGCATGAAGTGTAGTGCTAAAAACAGCAATATACGTTTCAGAGCTTGCCAAAATTTGGTACGATTTGTTAGCTATCAAGCGGTGGGTCAGCATTTAAAAGTGGTTTGAAAAACGGCTTTTTATTTTTTGAATTGTCTTTGATAAAATTCTCAGATGGAGTTTTTTTAAGTTTTTTTACAGAAGTATTGAAAATTGTCTGAAAGAGATAAGAAAGTCGCCAATTTTTATCAAAAATAGATGTTTAAAACCCTCGATAACCTTTTGTAAAATGGCTTTCCCGTTCCTTGAAGTTATAGTTTAACTTACGGGATGAAACAACTTATAAAAATTGCGGCATTGCCCAGAATAAAAAGCATCCGTCCCGGACGGACGGCAAATAGGCATCGAGACCTTTCGTTCTTTTTGTACCCAGCTCGAGCGGCAGCTGGCCATCTCCCCTCCCCCACCTTCGAGGTGATCGAGTGCAGGCAATTTTCCACATGGGCTAAAAAATGAAGGAGAAGGCTGAATTAGCTCTTGTAAAAACACTCGCGTTCCCCGTTTCATGGCTTTCGAATGGGCACCATTCCACTGTGTCTGGTTGATTTTATGTAGTGTGGATGGCCTTCTCAACAGGCAACAACAACATGGAATCCACATGCGCTCAGAAAGTCACTTGGCCACGAAAACATTCCATTTTCTGCATATTTCCCGTATAGCCATTTGAAGTAAAGGCAACAATCCTACTATACAGTAGCGGTCAAAAAGATGTCCCCTCGGGAGATCGCTTGGTGCTCGTAAACCAGAGGCCCAAATTTTATGAAACGTCGTGTCTAGGGCAATTCGGCTGCGCAGAATCCGATGGCAACATTGAAATCTACTGAAAATTTGATTTTAATGGTCAAACTTAAATTTCAAAAAATCTGTAAAAATAAACTTTTTAATGAGGGATTTTCGGGTTTCAAAAATGTGTCCATCGTGTTCGCCAGGGTCGAAAACCACTAGTCCTTTATTTTACGCCACTTTTTCTACCAGGACCTGGCCATACTGACGGCCGAAAGTTGCTGTCGCGCGGGCCAAAATCCTTTGGATAGGCTTACGGGGGCCAGGAAAGCGCCCCGCGGCGACAACTTCTCGGCCTCATAGTAGCGAACCTCAAAGAGATAAATGTTTTGAAACATGTTCGAAATAGGTTTTCGACCCTTGCGAACACGATGGACATATTTTTGAAACCCGAAAATCCCTCAGGAAAAAGTTCATTTTACCGGTTTCTTTATAAATTAAAGTTTGATCACTAAAATCAAATTTTCAGCCGATTTCAAGTTCACCATCGAATTCTCCGTATGAAAATTGACCTAGACACGACGTTTCATAAAATTTGGGCCTATGGTTTACGAGCACCAAAGGATTTCCCGAGGGGACATCTTTTTGACCGCTACTGTATATATCAACTATAATAATTTTGCTGTGGTCTCTGTCCGGTCCCGAATTCAACTCGAAGGGGAAAAGAGCTAGAGCTTAGGTCTCTTCGGATTCGGATAGAGCGCCCTCAGAAACCCCCAAACTGATAAAAAAATTATGAAAAAGTTTTGATTTAAATTGTTAAAATTAACTTTGAAAGTTTTTCCCTTAGTAAAAGGGGTGGGGGACGGAGGTTGGGGTGATTTTGGACATAGTGAGCCAGGTGGCGCGCGTTTCGTGGATGAAAATTTTCACGGGGGATTTCATTTCTTTTTCTCTCTCATTCCATCCGGTCGGTCGTTATTTTCGTTTTTTAAAAGGATTTCGGCTAGGGGAGGTATCTAAAGCCATCAGGGAGGTATTTAGGTAGTTTTTGAAGGGAATTTCAGCCATGGGGGTATCTGAAGCCATCGGGAAGGTATTTAGGTAGTTTTTGAAGGGAATTTCAGCCATGGGGGTATCTGAAGCCATCGGGAAGGTATTTAGGTAGTTTTTGAAGGGGATTTCAGCCAGGAAGGTATTTAGGTAGTTTTTGAAGGGATTTCAGCCATGGGGGTATCTAGCCATCGGGAAGGTATTTAGGTAGTTTTTGAAGGGATTTCAGCCATGGGGGGTATCTGAAGCCATCGGGAAGGTATTTAGGTAGTTTTTGAAGGATTTCAGCCATGGGGGGTATCTGAAGCCAACGGGAAGGTATTTAGGTAGTTTTTGAAGGGGATTTCAGCCATGGGGGGTATCTGAAGTCATCGGGAAGGTATTTAGGTAGTTTTTGAAGGGGATTTCAGCCATGGTGGGTATCTGAAGCCATCGGGAAGGTATTTAGGTAGTTTTTGAAGGGGATTTCAGCCATGGGGGGTATCTGAAGCCATCAGGAGGTATTTAGGTAGTTTTTGAAGGGATTTCGGCCATGGGGGTATCTAAGCCATCAGGAGGTATTAGGTAGTTTTTGAAGGGGATTTCTGGCCATGGGGGGTATCTGAAGCCATCAGGAGGTATTTAGGTAGTTTTTGAAGGGGATTTCAGCCATGGGGGGTATCTATAGCCATCAGTTGAAGGGGATTTCGGCCATGGGGGGTATCTGAAGCCATCAGGAAGGTATCGAAGTAGTTTTTGAAGGGGATTTCAGCCATGGGGGGTATCTGAAGCCATCAGGAAGGTATCGAAGTAGTTTTTGAAGGGGATTTCAGCCATGGGGGTATCTGAAGCCATCGGGAAGGTATTTAGGTAGTTTTTGAAGGGGATTTCAGCCATGTGGGATATCTGAAGCCATCGGGAAGGTATTTAGGTAGTTTTTGAAGGGGATTTCAGCCATGTGGGATATCTGAAGCCATCGGGAAGGTATTTAGGTAGTTTTTGAAGGGGATTTCAGCCATGGAGGGTATCTGAAGCCATCGGGAAGGTATTTAGGTAGTTTTTGAAGGGGATTTCAGCCATGGGGGGTATCTGAAGCCATCGGGAAGGTATTTAGGTAGTTTTTGAAGGGGATTTCAGCCATGGGGGTATCTAGCTTCATCGGGAAGGTATTTAGGTAGTTTTTGAAGGGGATTTCAGCCATGGGGGGTATCTGAAGCCATCGGGAAGGTATTTAGGTAGTTTTTGAAGGGATTTCAGCCATGGGGGTATCTGAAGCCATCGGGAAGGTATTTAGGTAGTTTTTGAAGGGATTTCAGCCATGGGGGTATCTGAAGCCATCGGGAAGGTATTTAGGTAGTTTTTGAAGGGGATTTCAGCCATGGGGGTATCTGAAGCCATCGGGAAGGTATTTAGGTAGTTTTTGAAGGGATTTCAGCCATGGGGGTATCTGAAGCCATCGGGAAGGTATTTAGGTAGTTTTTGAAGGGGATTTCAGCCATGGAGGGTATCTGAAGCCATCGGGAAGGTATTTAGGTAGTTTTTGAAGGGATTTCAGCCATGGGGGTATCTGAAGCTCATCGGGAAGGTATTTAGGTAGTTTTTGAAGGGGATTTAGCCATGGGGGTATCTGAAGCCATCGGGAAGGTATTTAGGTAGTTTTTGAAGGATTTCAGCCATGGGGGGTATCTGAAGCCATCGGGAAGGTATTTAGGTAGTTTTTGAAGGGATTTCAGCCATGGGGGTATCTGAAGCCATCGGGAAGGTATTTAGGTAGTTTTTGAAGGGGATTTCAGCCATGGGGGATATCTGAAGCCATCGGGAAGGTATTTAGGTAGTTTTTGAAGGGGATTTCAGCCATGGGGGGGTATCTGAAGCCATCGGGAAGGTATTTAGGTAGTTTTTGAAGGGGATTTCAGCCATGGGGGGTATCTAGCCATCGGGAAGGTATTTAGGTAGTTTTTGAAGGGGATTTCAGCCATGGGGGTATCTGAGCCATCGGGAAGGTATTTAGGTAGTTTTTGAAGGATTTCAGCCATGGGGGGTATCTGAAGCCATCGGGAAGGTATTTAGGTAGTTTTTGAAGGGATTTCAGCCATGGGGGGTATCTGAAGCCATCGGGAAGGTATTTAGGTAGTTTTTGAAGGGATTTCAGCCATGGGGGGTATCTGAAGCCATCGGGAAGGTATTTAGGTAGTTTTTGAAGGATTTCAGCCATGGGGGTATCTGAAGCCATCGGGAAGGTATTTAGGTAGTTTTTGAAGGGATTTCGCCATGGGGGTATCTAGCCATCGGGAAGGTATTTAGGTAGTTTTTGAAGGGGATTTCAGCCATGGGGGGGTATCTGAAGCCATCGGGAAGGTATTTAGGTAGTTTTTGAAGGATTTCAGCCATGGGGGGTATCTGAAGCCATCGGGAAGGTATTTAGGTAGTTTTTGAAGGGATTTCAGCCATGGGGGTATCTGAAGCCATCGGGAAGGTATTTAGGTAGTTTTTGATGGGGATTTCAGCCATGGGGGTATCTGAAGCCATCGGGAAGGTATTTAGGTAGTTTTTGAAGGGGATTTCAGCCATGGGGGGTATCTGAAGCCATCGGGAAGGTATTTAGGTAGTTTTTGAAGGGGATTTCAGCCATGGGGGTATCTGAAGCCATCGGGAAGGTATTTAGGTAGTTTTTGAAGGATTTCAGCCATGGGGGGTATCTGAAGCCATCGGGAAGGTATTTAGGTAGTTTTTGAAGGGGATTTCAGCCATGGGGGGTATCTGAAGCCATCGGGAAGGTATTTAGGTAGTTTTTGAAGGGGATTTCAGCCATGTGGGATATCTGAAGCCATCGGGAAGGTATTTAGGTAGTTTTTGAAGGGGATTTCGGCTATCGTGGGTATTGTATTGATGGAGGTGGGAAAGGATGTGGTGGGGTGGGACATGAAGGGTAGCCCGAAGGCCAGATGGTTGCAGTCGCGAAGCGACTGTAACCATCTGGTAAAAAATAGTGTCTGTGTGTGTCTGTGGACACTTTGCATAAATGACTCGAGAAAACCGGGTTACCAAGATATCGGGAAGGGGGAAGAATTTTAGGGCCCAGTCGAAAAGTATTTAGGGGTAGTCGAGGGCGTAGATTACTGCACGCTTATCAGATTTTTAATAAAATGACGATTTAGGCCTTATTTTAGCGATATTAAAACACATGGAAATATCCTCATTTGCATACGAGGGGCTAGGAGGCCCATTTCGGATTTTATCAAGCTCGCGGCCGGTTGCTCTTGCTATTTTTGGTCGCTCTAGCTCTTCGTCAGAATTATGCAAAGCCCAACTTTTAAAGATCCCCGCGCCACAGTGAGGGAAGGTGGGCGGTTCGATAGGCGACACTGCCGGGAATTCGGGGAAGTACTGTGGGGGGATGGGATCCCCCTCTTCAGATCTTCTGATGTTTTGATCTTTAGAATAAGTTTTTTACTTTTTAAAATTAATGACGAATTCGAAAATTCTGGTTTAACTCGCCCGACAAAACACATACTAAAAAGCTCTGATTTACCTGACAGACTATCGATGAAAAATCAGAGTGTATACCAACCCAAAATTTTCAATAATTCAAAGGCTGGGCACTCAAATGCTTGAGACTTAAAAATTTGGAAAATTAGAGCAAATTAGCTCGTCGGGGCTCTCGGCATTAGAGCCACGTGCTGCTGTATTTTAAATTATCAAAAATAGCAGCTCTTTAACAAGCATTGTGATCTATCTAACCCCACATTGCGCGCACTTGCGAGTCGGGGGCGGGGGGGGGATCCCCGAAGTATAGGTTACACCCTCGAATGTACCTCAATCATGACTGCATCGGCCGCGGCCGAAGCGCTAATTTCCTAAAAATAAAGGGCTCGGAAACTCAAACCCTGTGACTAGGGTTGTTATATGAGTTGACTTGAATGCAAGTTAACTTGCCAAAAATTATGCAAACTGCGACTTGCCTTCGAGTTTACTTAAATGAATTGGGCTCATTTTCGTGCAAGTTATTTTCAGGCAAGTAAACTTGGGATGCAAACTCAACTCGATGGCAAAATAACTTGCCAAGTTTTGACTCGAATCGCTGGCAAGTTTGAGTAGCGTCAATCCTGCCATGCAAACTCAGTTTGATGGCAAGTTAACTTGCCTGCAAAATAACTTGTCGGAAGTCGATAGATGTTAATTCATGCAAAGCACCAAATCCCAATGAGAAACAAAGACAGAATAGTCGCCTTGTCGGAATCAAATAGGTTTATTCTCCCGTTTCCAGTGCTCATAAGTCAAGCAAATTCATTATTCCAGCATATGAACGGTTTTTTACTTTTTACCATTTTTTTTACTTGTTTGCAGGGTTGGTCACGCTGGATCCTAATCGGATCCGGTCCGGTCCGGGGTCGGTCCGGTCCGGTCCGGTCCGAACTCCATCCGGACTGGATCCGTCCGGTCCGTGGCGGACCGAGGGGCTTTGATTTGCTAGGTGAAACGGAAATGCAACATGCAAATTCGGAATGCAAAAGCGTGGCGTGCCAAAAAATGACGCAATGTGGAATTCGCTTAATCAAAATGTCTAAAATTATTCCTTCGCCATTAATTTTTGGCTACATACGCGACGGCTAGTAGCTTAGATGTGGAAAAATATGTCAAATTCTGCGCGAGTAGTATTTTGCATACAAATTTTCCATATCTGGCTCCTGAATCATGTCCCTTCGTGTTCAGCACGGACCGGACCGGTCCGGTCCGGTCCGTCCGGTCCGGTCCGAAATTCTCGGATCCACTCGACCGATCCGGACTGACTGGACTCGCGGACCGTCCGCGGACCGGATCCTTTGTGACCAACCCTGCTTGTTTGTGACAAGTAAAGTTCCTCGCAAGTTAATTTGCTTGCAAGTCAACTCATATAACAACCCTACCTGTGACCCTTTTTGCCATCGTTTGGAAAGCATTTTCGAAATATACTTCAACGGGTTTTTTCGGACCAACAATGGTTACACCATAAATCACAGTTTCTGTTGGGTATGCAACTAAATGTGTGCAATCTCATTGTCCCACGCTGTCATGAATAATAACCCGAAAAACGCAACCGATTGGCAACAGAAGATCATGATTCTCATGCACAAGTGATAAATTACGAGAATTGGGTTCGAATATCAACCGTCGAAATTCCGCGACTAGCAATAACCGATGCCAACAGTGTTATAAATAGGATGCCAGAATTCAGTGCCTATTTTGAAAAGATGAAGCTGAACAAAATTATTCTTTCGACGTTTGGCTTAATCGGTATTTCAATTCTCATTTTGTAGTCAGATTTTAGGGTTGGTGGGCTCTATTCAGGTCTGCCCGCAGGCGGCTTGCCCGGCTGCCGGGGCCTGGGGCGAGAGGAAAATAATTTCAAGCTGTACAGGCACCTGTGGAATGAACGGGCTTCGCGTCGAGATGCGCGAATGCGCGTCGGAAAAGTTTGGGTGTCCGTGCGAGTAAGAAGTATTTCGAAGCCATTACATTTAGCAGTTACTAACCAGAAATGAAACTCCTCTTGCCCTGGCGGCAACCCTGTAAATGTTTTTTTTAGCGGCCCCAAAAGTCGTACCGTCGCCTGCCCCGATTCACTTTGCACATTTCCGCTCATCACGTGCGCCGACGGTCATGCTAAGGTAATTGATTTTCCTAAAAATTATTTCCGATTATTTTTAAAATTTTTACCTACATCCTTTTTAGAAACTGAACCTAACGAGTAAAGTCTACACCTGTCAACCGATCATCCCGGTCGTCCAGGACGCGGCTAACCCGAGTTTCAGTTGCAGCAGTAAGTATCTGGGAGTTTTCGAAACGTATTTATTATAGTGACCGAAACGATTGACTGCCCAAGAGTGCCGGCCGGCGGTAAGCACAAAATTAGATAAAAATGCCGATATTAAAGTGGTAAAAGCAAAATCCCGACACCAGAACATTATTTACATAAACCCCACGGCATCTCAGGACCCGCAATTACGACATGTAATGGGGGGTAGAGTGAGGGAGGCCCAGGTTGTCTAGGTTCTCAGGTTTTTTAATTTGCACGCCTTCAGGCTGAGCCTGCTAGGTGCAGTACGCCTGACCTCTAATTAGTCAGGCTTTATCTGGAAATTTTATAAAGTCGTAGAATATTCAAAAGTCTTTGTCGGACAACAAGACATTTTTAAACTTCCAGGGGTCGAAGAGCTGTAAGGAGGTCCAAGAATATTCTACAAAGTTCGGGTACTGATTTTAACAAACCTTACGGCACGATACGTTAATAGCAAGCGGATACACAAAAGCCAAGAGTCGGTTCGAACGGGCGGGGGATGCAATTGCCTTTCCTGACATCCTCCCTATATTCATCTTCGAATGTGACCAAATAGAAACAGAACTGAATTCAACTCTGAATTGGACCAAGGCTTTAAAAGCGTCTTTGGTTTCCACAACTTTCAAAGCCTTGGTCCAATTCAGAGTTGAATTCAGTTCTCTTTCTATTTGGTCACATTCGAAAGAGCGCATTTTGTTCTACAAAACTGGAAATCGACTTTTTCAAATTACAATCTAGGTAAAAAGTTATAAGCGTTCAAAGACTTCCCTCTTAGCATTTTTGCCCCCCCCCCTCCAATTACATGTCGTAATTGCGGGTCCTGAGATGCCGTGAACCGTGGACTTCAATTCCGAGTCTTCGTGTGTCGGCATTCTGGTTGTCGAGCTTTTGAATTGACATTTTATTGTTTGTCGAAAAACAACATAATTTTAAGGACTCTGGTCGGCATGGACAAACGTGGCAGGAACAACTTGCACGGCTACATGTGGAGGGAAAGGGACGATTCCGCAGATACGCACCTGTTTGACCTCGGTGGTTCAACCCTGCAGGTACTTTTGAACTGTGTACACCCATGATTACGCACAAACGTTTGAGCGCGTCAATGGCTAAATTTAAGCAAGTATTATATTAGTGGAAACGCAACCAGAACGGCACGATGTCCGCCACAACCTTGCCCCGATGGGAGTTGTGCTGCCAACCAATCTAAGGTCAGAATTTTACGAGTTACCTTTAAACCCTCGTCGCTATTTACGGTGTTTAGGTGAGGTTTACGATTTCTGGTCAAACCGTGGATCGATGTGGATATGAAGTTCCGGATCAAGGGACACCCTGCTTCCCGGCCGGCTGCAACATGGGTAAGCTCTTCTTCACCGTTTGACAATCTCTTACTAGGGAAGTCCAAGATACCCGCAACACGAATCGGGCTGAAAATTTGCACAGATATGGAACCGACCATGCTGATCATCGCCTCATTTTCCGAATTTGCTACAGAGCTTAAATAATTAAAATATTAAACTTTTAAAACGCGCCAAAAACCCGCCGCCCTGACGCTGGCTCACTAGGGCGGGTGGGGTTCAAGAGGCCTTTGGGAACCCCCCTTTCCAGAGCTTCGGTAGTCAACTGGTAAGCGCCTCGCTTCCCAGGTGGAGGGTCCGGGTCCGGACCCGGCCCGCGCATTTTTCCTTTGCTTTTTGCTAGTTTTGCGCCGCACATGTGGCGCGTGTCCAGATTGTGTTTTTTGCTACACGCAGATGAGCCGGTTGCTGCCGTCGACTTGCGGAATACCGGCTTTTAACAATTTTTTTTGCTAGTGTTTTCTATGAACTTTTTTCATAAATTTATCATTTCGTTGAATTTCATTTCTAGGATGTACGTAAATGCGTGTGCACAACACAATCTGGACACGCGCCACATGTGCGGCGCAAAATTAGCAAAAAGCAAAAGAAAAATGCGCGGGCCGGGTCCGAACCCGGACCCTCCACCTGGGAAACGAGGCGCTTACCAGTTGACTACCGAAGCTCTGGAAAGGGGGGTTCCCAAAGGCCTCTTGAACCCCACCCGCCCTAGTGAGCCAGCGTCAGGGCGGCGGGTTTTTGGCGCGTTTTAATAGTTTAATATTTTAATTATTTAAGCTCTGTAGCAAATTCGGAAAATGAGGCGATGATCAGCATGGTCGGTTCCATATCTGTGCAAATTTTCAGCCCGATTGGTGTTGCGGGTATCTTGGACTTCCCTAGTTAGTTTTTTGTACAGCGTTTTTCGATTAAAAAAAATGATTCTAGGCATCGAGTTGTCATGATAATGGCCTTAAAGGGCACGTTCAGGGACGTTTTTTTTGGAAAAAAGCAAAGATTTTTTCCGAGAACGGGGGTCGAACCCGGGCCCCCCGCTCGGGAGGCGCGGATGGATACCACAGCCACAGCTACAACCTGGCGAGGGGGCGAGGGGCGTCCCACGCCACAAAGGAGGGGAATGGCCTGTCACAGCACGGGCAAGCAGTGCGCGCGGTCCCTACGTCCATAGGGTGTACACGTTGGAACGAGTACACGGCCTCTCCCTGAACGTGCGCTTTAAGACTATTACCCTCAACAACCCGGCTGATGCAAGCTTCTAAATACAACCCCAAAAATGTCTTGCTTCAAGTTACCACGACGAAAACCTCGACGCCCACAACCGCTACGAAACCTAGCCCGACTACAAAAAGCACTACCACCAGCACATCTACGACGACGACCACGAAACAAGTGGTAAACTGGGCTAATATAGATCGTCCTAAAAAATAGTCACTGCAACTGCATATTTCCTCAATATGCCCATGTTTAAAGGTACATTCCGCGCACATTAAAAAACCCAGGTCGGCTGCAAGAATTCGGTGGCCCTTCGCCCCCTCCCCTCTCACGTCTGTCCCATGGCCGAGTGGTCTAAAGCGCTAGCCCCAGTCGAGGGTCCCGGGACTGTACCTTTAAAGGGGCTACGAAATTCCAAAAATTGACTGACGGCCCGAAAATCGGAGCCCTGTACGTGGGAGGCCTCTGTACACCTAGGGGCGTGGGAAGCTCGCAATTTTGAAATGGCCTGTGGTCACCTCGAAATCACGGTCTCGGCTGTTTCTGAGCCAAATTTGATGATTAAAACATCAAAACTATTTAAAATTGAGTGAGGATTTCAAAAATGGACTCAGAATTCGCAAATTACAGTGTTTTCACAAAGAAACCGGGCAAAAGCAACTTCGCGCAAAAATAGAGACAATGAGGGCTCTCGTCCGGCAGCGCCCGCTGGCAATTTGCCAGAAATCAAAGAGGCCTCCCAAAAGGGCTTTGATTTGGCAGTTCGGAGCCCCTTTAAGAGGCTGCTTTAGGAGTGCGATGGCTGGTTCACTTCTGTTTACACGGGGAACTGCTGGAAGGTCTGCACAACAAAAACCATGGTTACAACTCGTTTTTAGCTGCTCGACACCAAATATACGTTCGATGAGGCGAAGATCCAGTGCGAAAGCATCGGCGCCATCTTGCCGAACCTCCATAATGGGATCGACGCTGATGAATTTGCCGGTATACAGTTTTTTCTTTAGTTTTACTGAAAGGTTTTGCGAAATTTTGCATGCTTTTGAGCCGCATACCTGGCGTTTTTCAACCCACTGACGCTAAGCGCTAAAAGCTCCAAACTTTGAACCCGCTCTTCCATACTGCCTAAGCAAAACGGGGCTTGAAGTTTGTTCTGTTTGCAGAGCATTTAAAGCGCACGTTCAGGGAGGGGCCGTGTACTCGTCCCAACGTGTACACGATTCTATGGACGTAGGGACCGCGCACACTGCCTGCCCGTGCTGTGACAGGCCATTCCCCTCATTTGCGGCGTGGGGCGCCCCTCGCCCCCTCGCCAGGTTGTAGCTGTGGCTGAGTGGTATCCTTCCGCGCCTCCCGATGCTGTCGGGGAAGGAGACTGCGTGGCGGTCGGTGCCAAATGGCGTGTTTTTGGAAACGAGCTCATTTTCAGAATGACCAGGAGTTGATTTGGTTGAAGTTGTCGTGCGACGTTCCTGAATGGACTTTCTGCCAACAAAGCTCATGGGGGTAGTGATTACCACGGTGAGCAGGGCATAAAATTTAACGGCAGATACTCCTGGTCCAGCTGATACTTGCAACAAGAGTATTGTCTAGAAACCAACAAGGGTATGTTATACCTAGCCTATCTCTCTCCATCTCTCTTTTCCTTTTTTTCTCTCTCTCCCTCTCTCTCTCGCTCTCTCTCGCTCTGCCTCGCACGCTCGCTTTCAAACAAAATGTCTCCCTTCTGCTGCTGAATTTATTCCCAAAACCACACATTTAATGCGGCAACAGACATGGCGGAACTGTCGGCGCCGGAGGGTAGATTGGGGTTATTTGAGCGGGAGGCGTGATGTACTTCACGGTGATTTCATATACCAATCGCTCGAAGCAGCTTCTGCGGCCATCGTTTAGGCCAGCTTCTCGGCAAATGCCTGAAAAATAATTTGGTCGGGTGGAATCGTTGAATAACTAGCCATTTTATCTGAATTTTTTGATTCATTTAGGGGTTTCAAGGTATTTGTGGTGCTTATTTAAGATCAAGGGTCTGAGAAGGGCATCAGGGCTTAGAGAATGGCAAAAAAAAATAATTTCATATCGTTGTATGCATCAACCTGAGCAATGAGACCACTGACTGCCGTCAGCTTGGCTTCCGCTGGATTCGGGCAGCGCTCCGAGCTCCCATCGATGTAGGCGCTGTAGACGGCGTTAGCCATCCTAAAACACAGTCAGAAGCTAGATGCCTTAAGTCCATGAATTTAATGAAGAAGTCAAACTCCCAAGAAAGCTTACGGGCAGGGGATCTCGGGCTAGCGTTCCAAAAGTTGAGGCGCCGCCAGGGCTGCCCCCTTCTGGAAGCAGTCAAGAATTTTGGCATCTAGAAAATGGAAAAATATCGCGTTGAATGGCCATTCTTACACTGCGGTAGTACAGATGTGCCATTGCAGAGATATGGGGCAATTCGAGCTTCCGTCGCGCTGTGGTGCTCTCCTCTAAAATTGAACCCTATGATGCGTACCTGGCTTCAACGGCTTATTTTCAAAATGTCGAAATTCATAATACCGTAATGTCATAATGTCGAAATTCAGAATGTCGAAATTTACATAAGCTAGTATTCCCGGTAAAACGCCCAAATCTTAAGCAGAAAAAATTTCGACACTCTGAATTTCGACATTATGAAAGTTCGACATTATGAATTTTAACATTATGATAGCAAATGAGGAATCCGAGTACAAACCGGCAAATGGCTTTGGCATCGAAGAATATCAGATGCGGCTAGAAAAGGAGGTTTTTTGGGGGACTTTGGTTCTTTCGCATTTCCGCATAAGGCTAGACATAGTCTAGTAACGTAATAGAAAATGTTTCAGTAATGTTTGAAGTAATATCTAACTATTTTTTAATTAGAAAAACCAGCTAAAATTTTAAAAAAGTCAAAGTTGTGGTAAAGAATTGGCCACTTTTGTCAGAAAAATCAATATTTCTGATATTTTCCAATACAAATTGTAAAGTTCAGTTATGAAGGAAAAATTGCTTCAAAATGACGTACCACAAAGTACATGGGAGGGTCCTCTACTGCAGGAAATTGTGGTTTCTCGGTATTCGGGGCGGCTGTAATGAAGATTAATAATATACTGTACTCGCTACATCATTAAATCCTATCTTTCTCCGCTCTTTGTTTGTAACGTTTCCGGGGTCAGTTTTAAAGCTTTAAAGTGGTAAAACAAAAATACATACCAACAGTAGCTCCAGCCAAGACGACAACGACCGAGAGCAGCTTCACGTCTTTAAGCTACCGTAGTATGGATATTAATTAACCAGCAAACGCCGGGAAAAAACTTTAAGAGGACTGATACCTGCCAGCCTGCTGTCAATGTTATACAGGGTGGCGATTAAGTATTTGCGCCAGGAAAGGCAGCGTAAAAAATGACCGAAGCGTGTCTCGGAAATTATTTTACGACCATAACGTAGCTAATATAACCTAATTACGGATACCAAAAAATCTACGGCCCTAATTCTTAAATTTTCAAGATACGACCTTTGAGAGAAGCGCCCAAACATCAGCGAGGGCCGCGCGTAAGCTTTTCTGCCTAAGTATCTCCGTTGGCCAAAATAACAAGTGGTTTTTATATTCTTTGCAATGCCCTTTAGCGAACGTAGTAGACAGAAAAATTATTTCTAATCGGATCCTAGATTTATTCGTAGTTTTCTCGACCACCAAAATTGAGCCGCGCGGGAGGCTTTTTCACGAAAAACACAAAATGTCTCAAATTTCTACAATCACTTGTCGAAGATGTTTTCCATGATGGGGACTTGGTTAAGCGATCCAAACGGTCCGGAAAAGCTTAAGGGCGTTCAAAAAGCTCAAAATGTTTGCACAAAACGATGGAATGAAATGCATGGTTATGCGACCCGTTTGCTCCACTCTTAAAAAATCACGGGCTGGAGAATTTAGCTTTTCTCGCTCTAGCTAAAGTGGCTAGTAAAGAGACGCAAGAATTACCTACATTTTGATAGCAAAACGAAGAAGATACCTCCAGGTGCGATTTTTTAGAATGCATTCTTCTGCGATAAGTCGCTCTGAGACAGGATGCGCGGCCCTCGAGCTTTGCCAAAATTTACTTTCGCTTCCGTGCCCTACTCAGGACTCCCTGTTGCCCATACCCATTTTTTCTAGCAAGTTCAGATAGCTCTTTCCACGATCAAACATCGGGAAATATATCCAGCTTCTTCAAAAAAATTTCTGAGCTTCTCAAAAATGAAGAAAATCCCTACAAAAAAACGCGGTTTTACATGTTTAGACAAAGTCAAATTCTGTGGTGAAGCGGTTTCCTGTTTTCACTTTGCATCTGATATAGCAAAAAATTCTCTACAAAATGGACTTATTTGTTTTTTCTGCCGACTACGATTTAGCTCCTAAAAACGTGCTTGAAACAGGCGCAAATACTTAATCGCCACCCTG